CACACATTTCAACCTCTTCAATCTAAAAATAACAAAATGATTAGAATCAATCTAGATTAGAATCCGTGCCCAAACCTCATTTTGAAATCTACGTTTGAAAATCTTATCCATTAACTCTAGTGAATAATTTATTCTACTTTAGTGAATAACTGACTTTCCAACAAAGTTTTCAATAAGCAAAATGACACGGGACAACCCTCAAAGTTGCCTAAAATATCTGGGGTTCATCACTAAAAATTGTTCTGACCTCAACCCTGTTGCTGTTCTAAGTAGCTATGGTACAAACAGCTGACAATCAAGTCTTGGTTGGTGGTAAGGTTACTCATACATATATATTCAATAGGAATGACTGCTCAGTATCAGATGACAAAAAGCTTATCAGATCAAAAAATTTAAAGCTGCTAACGAAACGTAGCAAGAATTTTAACAGTTTTGTAAGATATACACCAATTCGACTTACGACCTCGTTTTGGGAATATCTCCAAACTTAATTATACGACATTTTAAGCTCAGATTTGGTTTTATCGCCATAATTTTAGGCGGGATACCATTTTTTATATTGTTTCAGCCTGTATTTTAGATTTTACATAGAAATGAAGTTTGAAAACTTGAAAGGGATTTGACCGCAAAAATCGTTCCGGGGGAAACTTTACCCCGCTAGTCGCCAATCACGATCAAATCCCTTATAAAGTTTTTATCTTTGCGTCGTCATAGAATCACTATCGTGAGCAATATCATAATGAAAACTTACAATTAGACTAAAATCATTGCTCTCAATCTGAATCTGAGGTGAAAAATTTTGTAAAAAAAAATTTTGAAGAATTTTTCGAAACGAGGCCGTAAGTCGAATTGGTGTATTGCTTCAGTACTCCTCCGCAGTGTTCTCATTTTTCTCACTATTTCGTTTCTTCAGTATAAAGTTTCGGCATATTGTGTTTCGGTCGTTGCAGGACTTTGCAGCCTCTCTTTCAATTCCTTTTTCAGAGCCAATCTTGACCAGATTTATACAGGACCTCCTCGGGTTCAAGAGCGTCAAGCAGGGTTGTGGAGGAGTGTTGCCGGAAAATGTGGAGTAGTAAAGAAAGTGAGACCAGAGAAACGAAAGAGGTCACTTTCTCGCAATGCTCCTTCTCTGCGGCCCTTACTGGACGTTCCAGCAACCTCTTACTAGACGCTGTGGGACCAAAGTAGGGGTCTCGTAAAAGAGTTCAGATAGCAGATCTACACGTTTATGTATCCACAATTAAATGCAAGGCCTATTTGTACTCTTATGGAATTTGTCTGGATCGGATCCACTCCCATGAAACGGGATTTAGGCTCTGAAGTAGAAGCTTCATTGCAGTATTATTGTCCAGTTTAAATATTTTAACGGCTAGAGAGCTTAATTCTTAGTCTTGAAAATCTCTGAAAAGCAGTAAAATACAAAGTCTTCGATTTTCGGCGTAGAAAGGTTCGATATCAAAGCAAATCCTGAAAAGATACAAAGAATCAAAGGATCTAGATTTAATACAATTACTGATAAATTGATAACAGTTTGGTGAAATGAATGGATATGACAATGATCGATGGTCGTGCTTCTGATGCTATGATATCAACGAAAGTAACCAAAGCATGTAATTCTAGAAAATTTGGAGTTATCCCTCAATCTTTCATATTGGATTAGCACGAAAATTAGAAAGCGGCAAGGTAAGGTTATATGTGAATCCATTTAGCTTTCTAATAAAGAGGCTTTGTGTTTTTTAGATATGCTAGAAATTTTGTTTTGCTTGAACAGGTAATTTAGACTGAAAACCAATAGACTCAAAACAATCAAAGAATTTTGGATGAAAAATCCAGTAAGCAAATTGATTAAAACCTGTAAATCTTGTAACTTATACAATCTGACTGGCTGAAACGACAACTTGGGGACTTGAATTAGAGGCAATTAGAAGTTAACAATGTTGGGTTGACGGCAATTGTAGTCACAGAGGCCACACACTTCATTACCTAAATATGACCAGTATCTTAACGGTGCAAAATAACAGGCTCCACGTTGCAATTTTGGAAAATAATATTGGAGGAATAAAATGGCAAAGATTCCCCAAAGAGGAAGGGGCTAGGGGATGTCCAGCTACAGCCTCTTGCAGGAGGAAAAAGATCGTTGATACTGGGGCAGACATTATTGGCCAGCATAAAATAACAGGCTCCACCCAGTAGCGGCGCCACGGGGGGGGAGGGGGGACTGGAGGGACACGTCTTAATTTTTTCTGGTTTGCCCCCCCCAGAGCTTAGTGGCTGGCGCCGCCATTGGTTCCACCGTGTCAATGCAGTGAGACGAAATCAGGCGAGTATGAGTAAGCCAAGGGTTTCCTTAGGAGGGCAATATCCTCAATACTGGGATGGGGCAAATATAAGGAAACAAAATGTGCCGCCAAATTTAAACAATATGGGACGAGAAATTCGCTTCTGGAGGGTACCCTTAACTTTTTGGCAAATGTAATATAAAGGTTCAGGTTATACTCAATTTAACGGTTCACGGCAGTTTTCTAAGAAAAACGGGCATTTATCTTACAGATGCAGGTGGTCAAAAACAGGAAGTAGTTCTTTCAGGTTACAACTGTTTTAGCAATGCAGGTAGCAGATAATTTAGAATTTTTAATTCAACCACCCCGCTTGACCTTTAAAAATTCTTGGTTTGCTACAAGGCAGCGTATGAGATTTTGGTGAGACTTTTTCATATTTATTAATCTTATCAGCAATTTTCGGAATGGAGGGAGAGGATTTCGGTATAAAAAATGAGAAACACGAAAACAAGACAAAAGTCTTCAAGTATTCCAAGGAATTTGGCAGTCATTGTACTATCAGAAAAGAGGAATACCTTCTACAATACATCTACAATGCAAGTCATATATGATTATTGAATTGCTAGATAGGACATACTGTCATATTGAGATGACAGGGCCAAGTAGGTATAGCACACGACTTTATGAGGCCTCTCACAAGGCTATACAAGTTTGTAAATTGACTTCTCACAAGGCTATACAAGTTTTTAAATTGATTGTGAACAAAAGGCATCTCAAGATCGTGATTTTTGCATTTCTAGTACATGGGATTTTTCACTAAGATACCGTCTAAATACAATTTGCCGATAATGTCTTTTTAGTTAGTTGTGAGGGATGAAACAACTTGAGGAATATCTTGATTTATGTGAGTTTTATGTTGGTTAAACAAACTTCCCAACATGGAAGATCTAATTATTTTATATGTTGGTTTTAACATAGACAAAATCTTGGTTAGAGTTTACATTATATGTGGTTGGGAATTGAGAAGCTACATAAATCATAATTGGGGAGTCAGCCCCTTTTGAAGAATGGTCGATGACTGAAAGAAGCTGATAAAGATTGTGTTTTACCAGAATTTTTTATTGACCATAAAAAAGGTATCAATGTGGTGGTAAACCTTAAAAATTCTGGTTCTAGTTGCGTTTGGCTGGGAAGACAGTAGCTAAACAGCTTCTTTCAGCAAAGTGACAGCCAAGTTACAGCAAAGACTTTGGTTACAGCTAAACCGCTATCTTTATTGCAAAGGAAACTAAACCGGTTGACAATAATCAACAAAATAAACAGACGGCCATCACTTCAGTATCAAAGGGTCTGGGAAAGAGGAAAGCGCCATTGGATCAACTAGGTGTGTGTTCCGCTGTTTGTAGCGAATATCGGTTTCTTTTCCTAAATTTTGATTTTGCAAGTCGGAAAATGGCTGTGCTGAAAGACGGAGAAAAGAATGCTGCACAAATTATATATTAGCAAAATTAGAAGTAAAAATTGGCCTTGCTACTAAAGAAAAGGCGCTGGTTTATCTTTTTATAATATTTTGTTTTATCTGCAATTGTTCTAAAAAGATATGAAATTCTATGAGTCATTCCGAAGGAGTTTATACACACACAAGCAAGCGGGTAACTTGCATTAGCTGGATTATTTTCCATTCCTCGTTAGATTTATTTGTTTCGAATGGCGCTGTTTTTATGATGAGAATATAATACAACATTGTTCGGCCATTGTCGCCTTTTCCATGGTAAAACTATAAGACATATTAATCACTGCCTTTGAAAAACTTCAATCGAACTAGGGTAGGGAATACGCTCAGAGTCACGTCACATAACGGAGGAATATTTGTTTTGATAAAAAGTTTTGTAAAACTTACTCGGTGTAAAAACAAACACACGAACCAAGTTTTCAATCAAAATCCCGCATGGAAATTTAACTGACTCGATGTAATTTTTGGCCGAGCCTGTTTTAGTTAACTGAGAATCATGTAGGAAACCTGAAGGCCTTTATAGGTACTTATCATCCACAACACGAGTCGTGAGACTGATTTTCTCGTGACGAAACAAGAATCTTGTACTCGTACACTGACAAACGAAAAGATTGTGTCTTTTGATGACGCCGTGTTCCCTCTTGGTTTCGGAGTCGTTTGCGTACAGGAGTAAAAGCTTTGACCGAAGCACAAACCACGTTCCATATTGTTCAGAAGTCAAGCTAAAAAGACAAGAACTAGCGACAGCCCTGCACCATACGAATAACAAATCCCGCAAATGTCTGATTTGTCAACGTTGTGGCCACCGTGTACGCTGTCTGCAGCAATAAAAGCGTGCCTATGTCGCCGGCGTGCATACGTATTGAATTTGTAAAGCTAGCGGAAAGTATACATGTTAGATATGCTCAAAAGATCATGAAGAAATGTGACGCCTTCCTGACACTGAAGTGGCTGTATTGTCTTCTAGGCAGCTGGACATCAACACGGGAATTGTCCGCAATCAAGCGCGCAATAGTTCCATGTCTCAGTGGAGTCAGTCCATTTTCAGGCATTATATGCTCTGAAAACAATTTTCCGTCATGGTAGTTTGCTGTAATTTCTTAGTGCCGGAATGCGTGTCAGGAAAATTTCATAAAAAACTTCATTGAAAATATACAAAGAGAGATATGGGCAATGAGGTAGCGACTCACCGACTTGTGAAATCGGATCGGTTCCACTTGCTGATCGCTGACACCAAAACGTAGATGCGTACATTGACTACTGGGAAGTTTCCTGACGCGTGACTATTTTTGAGAGGGTTGAACAATGCGCGCTGTACAGTTCTTCGTTGTTAGGCGTAATTAGACACGGTTAATGACGATACTCCTTCTCAATTATTACGGAATTCTGCCCTTTCAAATCTGTGGTTCATATTATACAGCTCAGTCATCCACTTCGACTGGCCCTTTATTTTCAAGAGAATGGGTGTTACTAGGGCATTATTCTCTTAATACTGGGTTGACGTCTTGTATTCTACACGCTTTAAAAGATCCGCAATGGGGGTCTACCTTAAGAATACAGAAGAATTTTAAGCTCACCTAACTGGTTTATCGATTTTTCTAATATTGAGAGCATGATGAGATTTCCACCGCTCAAGAGGAGTTTAATTTGCGCACGCATTTGTTGTCCTTCGCAGAGGCTTTGCAACAGTAACTATCAAGTGCCCTAATGATAAACGATAAACAAAGAGAACATAAACACCAGGAAATCGAAAGCGTCATGTGATAACGGCGAAAAAACTTTATATATCTTAAACTATTGCTACATCAAAGAATTTGCTCGAATTCTTCAAAACAAGATAGCTTTTTCACAGTTACAGTAAAATCAGTACTACGAAATTAAAATGAATCTTTGTACTACAGAGAATGCAATCAGAGAGAGCAAAAAATCGAGGGTCTCTTTATTGATTGAATCAAATTTAAAATTACTAAATGCATGAGAGGTTCTATCTTTGGCCGCTACAGAAAAGAGTGTAAAAGTACTAATGATAGTATATTCAATAGAATATTCCTTCAGACTATGATGACTGTTTTTAACATTCTGCTTCCACGTGAGCAACGACGAATAAATAAACCAATCGATTTTGATTGGCTTTGTTTTAACCAATCAGTGACTTCAGTCTGACATGATTCACAAGACAATCTACATGAATTGATGGCATTTCTAGCTTTTTAACTACTAGTACAAATTCACTAAACGTAATGTGAAAGCAAAGAAAACTTTTATTTCTGGTAACAATGTTACTTCCGGGTCACGCAAATTTCTTTAATTTTCATGGCGGCACGCAAAAGAAGGTGACAGAGAGTGATATCACGATTAGGTGCACGAGAAAATCGTCTTGCATATTTGCAACATATCACAAAAATTTACTCCTTGTCAAATATTAATGTTAGTGTCTATGTGTTGATTTAGAAAGGGCCTATTAAAGGGAGACCAAATTCCGCAAACGCGTAAATTGCACCAAAAGTCGCAATCCCTGGTCAAAATAGAAATAACACCACGTATGCAGTTGTGAACAGTGTCTAGGCCAAAAATTTATGCAGCAACTTCGCGAGTTTCAGCCAAGTGAGAGGCTCCTTTCCCGTTTCGAAGTCGTAGCTGCACTATCGAAACCGCTAACTGCTTGGTGAAACCGCGTAAATTGCATTGGCCTCAACTTTCAACATATGTTATCTGCAAACCTAATAACAAGTAAGATAGAAACAACAACGCCCAGCCCATTTTGGGACCACAAGCATCTAGAGCCGCGCCAAATTTGCAAGACAATCGCATTGGTAATCCGAATAAACTGATTTTAAGTCGCATTCTCTTTCTGACAGGTTTTTCTGCAATTTTGGCAAAGATAAATTGCCTGATTCTTTCGAGGTGCTGCTATTCAGCCTATTAACTAGATCTTACGTAAGATTAAAAGGAACCAATTAAAATTTCTTTATTTAACTTAGAAGTTAACGAATAGCTTCATAATTTCGATACAAAGTGCAATTCAATGACGTCAAAAGTATTGTTAGAATCACAAAAGACGTAATCGATGTTGAAGACTGCCAAGAGAATACAGTAATCCGGAAAAAACTGGGGATATTACAATGGAAGATAAACATCACTACGACCTTCTTTGAATTATGACTCTTGATATAGCCATTTGAGTCTCCTTCTATTCGATACATCACTATACTATACAGGCAGTCAAACGTCGATGACCGATATTAAGCCAATTTCATGTAATACTTTTATACGCTGTAATAGAACCAAAATTTTGAAAAATAGACTTTCGAAACAAGGTTTTAGGACGCTGGATAGTGTAATAACCATAATTTTTAATACCATAAAGCTGTTTTATGAGGTGCATTTTACAATTAACTCTTAACAACATTTAGACAAAAATTAGATTTGTTTTTAAATTTAATTATCTACACAATGTGATAAACTGTGAAAGTAGAATTTTAAATCACAATGCTTTGGTTCTTTATTTTATCTTGGTATAATCCATCATGATATGAGGTTTGTAAAAAATGAAAAGGTACGTACATAAATTGAAGATATTTATCTCTGGCAAGCTCAACAAAGGCAACAAAGGATTACAGAATCAGAAGATTTTGAAGTTTAAGCTCAGAGGGCCACAACAGTCAAAGGGTAGAGCCCGGCTCGTCGCTAGCTATTGTGCTTAAGGGAGGTTTCCAAGTCCCATTTGCCTAGCAACAGATTTTCTTACAGTACAGCAAAAGTTTTCGACAAGATTAAACCTAACTTATGAAACCACCCATTCTATATCCGTAGCAGAACCTTAGAAGAATAATAACGTAATACAAAAAGGACATATTTATAGACGCTGCTGCAATCATAGCCCAATGATGCAATTGTCACGGGATATGTCCGTAAGAAGACACTGTGTCGTAACATTCTAAACTTTATACACAAAAGTGCCATTTTCTATGGACTAACATTGAAAAATGTGATCGATCCTTACAACATTCATCTTCATCAATTAAAACCAACTGGTCCTCAACTGTTACAAAAATGTTTTGTAGTTCTTCAAAATGGGAGATATCGTTTCGAACATGAGAGCAGGGCCTACATTTTTAACAATTTGCATAGATCGATCGACACGGGGAGGGGGGGGGGTTGTAGCTAGGGAAAACGCTCTTTCCAGGCCTTAAAGGAACCGTAAAAACTTCATTCACGTAAAAGGCAATCTTTTGGTATTGAATTCTGGTCAGAGATTTGTTCCTGTCATCCTGTTTTTAGGGTATTAAACAGTGCTTCTGCAAATGGGCTTCTTATCATTTGTTTTCTCAAGTCGCAAACACAATAAAGCTTTCTTGAATAACTGAAACTTTAATCGACATAAGACATTACTCCTGTCCATCCTACTTATATCAAAGATTCAGAAGAAGACGTCTTTAACTCGGTTTAATCGTAAATCCACGATAACGGGCATTGCATCAGTAAAGTAGAATTCGAAATGGGAAAATCAAACTGGGAAATAAGGCAAGAAAATAAATTATCTTTTCGAGGTTTTTTTAAGCAGCTATTAGATTTTCCTATCTTTTCTTCATATCGTTGCCTACGTATTCCTTGACAAATGAACGGCTAGTCACACAAGACCAAGTATAAGAACTGTCGTCTCCCTGTCATTCAATGTCACAAAAACAATATTACCGGTAATTGCTAAAAGTAAGTTAATTTAGAAAAACCCTTTGAATGATCTTGAGTGTCATATTGAACAAACATTTTCTATCAGTATTTCAAACACAGTCAAAGAAAATACAAACATACAACAAATCCTAGCAAAGGAAAAGTTATTTATCAAGAGTCAGGCTATTCTTGGCTCTCATTTAAAGGTGCATTAGATGCAACACATTTTGCGAGCAAAATGTTTTCAAGTAGACAGTCTGACAGCCTGACACTTCTACACCTTTTTCTGTGTCTCTGGTTTCATTTATAGCTACCTCTAAAGCTATAGAGATTCTAAAAAATCATAACTTTTGAAGCTTGATAAAATCAGATTTATTTGTTGCAGAAACAAATTACAGTTATTAGTTTTCAGCAAGGATGATTTAAATGTCATACATGTAATTTTAGCTATAAAACAAACACAGTTGCCAAAAAAACATATTACAATCATAAACAGTATAAATACTTTTATTTATTCAAGATAGTAGTGCCAATAAACTTTTCCACCATCTTCATTGGAAAGGGACTGTTGGTTGGGCAGAAAGAATCTAGCAGCAGGTGTTCTAAATCGAAGCATTCATGGCATCATGTTGATGGGCTTTTTAAGAATCCAACAAGTAGCAGAAGTGTATGAATGGAAAGAAAAGGGGTATCCTAACTCGAGGCAAGAAGGGGTAGAGTGTAGAAGCCCTAAATGGCAAAGGGTGTAGACCCCAATTTTCTCTTGCTTAACTCACCTTTGCCCCCCCCTCAATCTTACCATTCTGGCTATGCTACTGTTTACAAGCTTCAAAATATAAGCTATAATTGGATACTCACGATTAGTGCAAAAGAAAACAGAAAAATCATATATACAAATCATGAATGTAACAAATTTGTCGGAATCACTAATTCCTAAAAAACAGTTAGCCTGCAAAATCAGATAAGCTTTCAGGCATCACTATGAATCAAAATTCAGGCTTGGAAACAAGTTTCACTGCCATGATATCTTTAATTTTGCACATTATTTTCTTTATTTCGTCTAAAAATATCTTAGCTAAATAAAATTAAAATACATGTTTCAGTGCATCGTATTTCTGCATTGTATTTCTGCTTTTTATACAGTATTTTTTACATATATAAGTAATAAAAATATTCAAATATACATATAATTTGTACAATATTTTACTCATGAATGCTTTGCTCTTTCATCTGCATACATCTTTTTATAAAAACATTCCTCATGAAACATCTTATGACCCTCACTTATCCACTTTCCAGTGAATTCTTTATTGGGCGTTTCTATAATAACATTGAAGCAGTAGCTGCATCTTGGACCCGCATATTTCTCATAGCATTCAACATGATACTTCTCACCTTTATATATTAGAAATTTGCCAGATATGTTCTTGTCAAGGTCAGGCTTTGATAATGGAAAGCAGCAATGTGTGCATTTTGGACCTCTTGTCTTCATATAACAATCATAGTGATAGTTCTGTAAAAATAATAATTACTACTATCAATAACACTGATAATGAATGAAAGACAGAAAGGTTTATGCTTGAAAAATAAAAGTAAAGTCATTAGAATTAATTTGATATTTTACTCCCTAGACCATGGACAGAGGCAGGGGTCAAGTAAAAGGGACTCATACCTTTAATTAATTAAGATATGCTGTTGAAAACTGTTAGCTGAGCTTGAAGTTGAAGGCACATCCATTGATGTGAAGGAGGTATATGGAAATGTATATGGAAAATAGAATTTTGCCTTGTAAAGTATCCAACCAAATGAAATATCTAGCCACAAGTTCACTCTTGATCTAGCTCCCTCCCGAAAATGACCTTTCTTCTATATCTGAAATTCTGATGTTCACATTATCTAAACACATGACAATCAAAAAATTAAACCAAAGCCTTCAACTTTTGAAATTAATAATAAGAATAATCTACACCCTATTGGTCTAATGTCATTTAGCAAGCAAACTATTTTGATCACAAAATGACAGCTTTAGAAATCATTCACCCTATATCAGCTTTAATAACCTAAAGCCTGATATCTCAGCCAAAATGATCTTCTCGGTAATATATTTAAAGTCAGAACAAAGTTGTACGTATTCAGTTTCAAGTTTAATTGAATTATCTTATACTTATGAAGTATTGTCTGTACTTTGAAGCATTTTTTTATCAATCCTTCGAAAATATTTTCCAGAAATTTTCTGAAGCACCGGTCCAATGTTTCCCTGACATTTCACTCACAAAACAGTAAGGGAATCTTTCAAATTTATTTTCATTCAAAAGCCATTGGAATTACGCAAAAAAAAATTTGGGCGAAAGAGTCAGCTTAGGCACTGTGAGCCACCATTTTTAGCAACGTTACCATACTTTTGTGACCCCAGTGTACATAAAATTCAAACTACCATTTGCTCTCTCGTGCATAGTCAATGTTATAAAAAAGTAATCAAACAAAACAACTATGATGTAAACCGCTCTTTCAATATTGATTCAGCACTTGCAAAATAGCAGTAATGAAAATATGTGAAAACTCTGAAAGGAAAAAACGTCATTCTACGGAAGTTCAGGTGTGCGCCAAAAAAGATTCCACTCTGACACAGAGCACTCCTTAGCAAGTGTTGCTTTTACAGCCCAGCCCTACGGAGGAACATATGCACACGGACATGAGAACTTACTCGAATTCCATCTTTGACAGCCTTATTTGTAAGCCCAGCCTTCTCGTTTTCGAAAATTTCGTCAAAGCACGAAGAACAACGCCCAACTGAAACACCACCACTTCTGTTGTACATACCCCCAAGTTCAAAAAAGTCTGCAGAACTTTTGTCTTCCCATGCATTTAGTTCAGCTTGTAAAGATACTTGAGAATATGGAGGTGGGTTTGTATCGAATACAATGCCCTTATTTGCAAGATCTTGCTTCATTGGTTCGATGTCCACATTGATGAAGTCTGGAGATACGAATGTCGGAGAAGAAGACTGCTTTTCTGATGACGCTGAAGCGGTTTGATTGATTTCTGAATAAGGTGGTGGCGCATAAGCACCCGCTATCAGCTTCTCTATAGCCTGCTCCATATTTCCATTGCATTCCGATAGAGCCATAGAAGCCTCGACACGCGAAAATCCCAGTTCATTGACGAGGACGTCCAAACTACCCTTGTTGTCTGCAGCCATTTTGATGGACGGAATTTGTTGAATCAGCAATTTCAAATTCGTGATTGATCACATGACCATTCGCTGTGCAAGAACGAGGTGAAGCGCCAGAAGACTTACCGTAAATCCTCGAATAAGCCCCCGGGGGCTTATTTGCAAAAATGAATTTTTGGGTTGGGGCTTATTCGAGGGGGGGGGGCTTATTTCAAAGTTAAATATTAACCCCAAAGGTCGACATAAAAACGACATTACTTTTCTAACAAATCTAACAAAGAACTAACAAATATTATGATTTTTTATCATCACAAAAGTCGCTTTTTTGCTTTTTGGTCTCCAGTCAAAGGAAGTAATACTGTATAGCTAGTGTACTGTGAGCTCTTTCTTGAAATAAGATATTATTCTGCAATTATGCTTACCTCGGGGCTTATTCAAGGTGGTGGCTTATTCGAGGATTTACGGTAATGAAATGGTATCGGAAAATTAAGTATTTTTGGAAAAAACATTATGTAATAGTTTAACAGTCTATACCTTATCAAATCTGGGATAGTTCAGTCCTTCCTTTGCACTGACGATAGTCATGATAGAATGGCAATCAGTGAGCCTTTCAGCTAATCATTTCAGATTCTAGTTCACCAATATTTTCTCTTTCATTGACCGTGTTCTTTATTAAGCTTGGAAATATTTTCAAATTGTTTCATTGTTGATAAAAACGTTTTATTGACATCACAGTTTAAATCAATTAACGATGCTTACACAGTTTAAGATACGGGGGTAGGGTCGACAATCGAAACAAGGAATCACAAATCATATTGAATCACATATCAAATGGAATCACAAATCGCATGAAATTACCTAGAACACGGAATCACAGATCATATTAAAGAAATAAGGATCGAAGTGATAGAAGTAAAAAAATGCTGGAACAAAATTTTTTAAAGTCTATAAAAAACTTAATAGTAATATCAATATTATATTATATGCTAAACTGTAAGTAATATAAATTGCTAAACTGATACAGTTGGGAGTGAAAAATACACTGATCTTTTCAACAATAATTGACAATCACTTAAATGTAGAAATATACAAATTATATACTTTGATTGTCTTAGAATTTAGATAAACATGATGGAATTTAAACATAATTCAAAATCAGCACTCGGTGCTTTTAACAATTTCAATTCGACTGTTTCTCCTTAAGGTAGGATTGAGTAATTGTACAACTAATGTTCTATTTTTTTCAAAATTAATAAAGGATCTAGAAATTCAAATAATAAACAACCATGTCCTAGGTACTTAAAAGCTAGTACCTAATTTTAAGTGTCATTGCTAAAATCAACATAGAGTGCAAGATGCTTGATACATTGGAAAACTGAAATCATATTTCTAGACCGATGTTCTCGGTTGTTAAAAACTTCATCTTTGATGTGTCACATTTTGCAAACTATATCACAATATACCTCCGTATAGGGGCCAATTTAAGACTGGTCGCTTATTTTACTATGATATCATAATTGATAGAGAGCTAATTCAAGAGGAGGACTAATGAGCGTATTTTCAATGAATGGTTGATATGGGGCTGATGTGGAGCTTTGTGAAAGCAAGTTGCTTAGAGACGGCCCTAAATGTGGAGGTGTCATTAATGAAGGAATCAAGAACTAGATTATTACAATAGTTTCCTAACTAAAGATTGCACTTTGCCAGAGATAACTACAAGTGATAACTAGTGATATAAATTATGTGATTTCTAAAGAATTTATCTACTGTTGGAAAAATTTCGCTCCAAATAAATCACTCTATCTGTAACACAATATTGGCTGACAGTCAAACGTTAACTAAAATAAAGATTTTCCCATCAAAATGCACTATAAACAGTTCTGTCCCGTAATATAATCTTCATACCAGCTATTTATCAGTGAGAGGGTGGATCAGCAAACTTCAAAGTTACTGCGAAGTTATCTCGGTAAATCTTCCATACTTTGCTTTTATGGGGATTGTCCAAATAGTTGCGAGTCAAGTGGAGCCTAAAAAGAACAGGAACCAGTTATCATTAATTGACCCAAAAACAAAACATTCGTGCGTTGCGTATCAAACGGATGTGTCGTACCTCTCATACGATTGATACGACTAGCGATTAGATTGACCAGATATGACCTTCACGAAAAAATAAGACTGTCAAGAAAATTGAAAGCCGTCTTTAAAAGAAATGCCACTAGTTAGAATCGCATAAGATCTTCACGCAACCCTCAAGCTCAAATTACTCTCCAACATGCTTTAGATTTAGTGTCCCTATAACATATTTTATTGCAATGGAGCAAATGAACACCTGCGGAGGGGGGGGGGGGCAAAATAGTTTATGCTTAGTTTAACCAGGGAGGTTTAACCTAATTACTTTAACTTCTTTTTTATTTTTCCATTTGCGGCAATCCTTCTGGACTGACATTTTTATAAAAATATAACAAGAAGTAGGGGAATAGCCATGGTACGACAAAGCCAAAATACGTAGGGGCCGAGAGGGGGCATAAGGGGCACCGTGAAAGCAGCCGGGGCCCGATCAACTAGCTGTTGTCATTTTACATTTCAAGGCTCGCTCCATATCCCCCCAATAACAAAAACAAGTAACATACCGCTAGGAAACAATATTGCACGATTGCCTGCTTTAAGTTATCACGCCTTATATAAAATTATGGATTTTATGCATAAACCATAAGCTGTTTGAAAACAACACAAATTTCTCCAGGTTTATTAAAAAAATTACTCACTGGGAATGCTTTAGTTAGAAGCAGAAACCAAAAATTCCATACTTACTTGTGGTTTTTGATAAAGCTCGTATGAAACCAGAAGAAGAAAGCACAATTGTCGTAGCCTTTTGGAACATTCTGCAACCAGTAAAACAAGAACTTACATAAAAACCTAATAAAAAAATAAGGCTTTTGTAACAGTGTTGCCTATATGTACCGAGGCAGTAAGCATGTCATTGGTCACTCAAAAGTCCCGACAACAGTATTAATCTGCTTAGACGATAAGAAAACAGGTTTGGACGGGAAATTCAATCTTGATCTATTCATTATATTTGGATGAAAACAAATTAAAACCAACCACGGATATGTAAACACTAAAAACTGATTTCCTATCCGAATACTTTAGGCAGTCAACAGCTCTCAGTGATTGCTTGTTTCCGTACTCTGGGTGCCAGAGTCAAATGAATTCAAGTGCGGACATTGAAGAGAGGAGCTGAGATGCGGAGGAGCTTCGGAGAGGTAAAAACTCTCCTTTTAAATGCTCCTCCACTTCTCCGCTCCTCTTTTCCACCTTTGCGTTCGAACCCAGGGTAGATCTTTAGACAATTTTGTAAACGTAAATTACAAATTATTGGGAAGAAAGCCAACCGCTAAAGAACGCAGGTTTGGCGTCGAAGGACATTGCATGGAGATTCAATTGTCTCGAGCACATTGATAACTGCTTTAGCAAGAAACGATTGTATAAGAAAATTTGCCTCGCACTCTTGTGACTATCGCTAGAAAGGGGGGAGCCTCTAGCCCCTTTCTATTTTAGGCTCCCCCTTCCTAGCGATAGTCACAAGAGTGCGAGTGAAATTTTTTACCAAAACTTTTAGCAGAGCAAGTTGCTTTTTATCACGTGACCCCTACGGGGCATGTCCATTCAATTTGACATTCAGGCTAGGCGTTTTTGTCTTTTTTTCAGAGGCAAATTTTCTTATAATTCATTGGGGGCTTGGATAGAGTTTTTGTCTTTACCAAAGCTAATTTTCCTATAATTCATTAAAGGAGAACTGACACGCAAAAATAACTTTGGCTTATTCGATGCAAAATTTGTCGCTGATTTCAAATCTGGAAAAAGTTTTCTTCTTAGATTCGCCGTTTTTCTGATATTTGCACTTTTATCCGTCAAATACGTCACAGCCAGGACTCGGGAATTTCCCGAAGCGGAAACAAGATTATCGCCAGGAGTTGTTAAAATTCTCGGTTGACGTCACAAGTGACATGTTAACAATGCCGTTGTAAAGGCTTTCACCGCAACGGTGAAAATACAAGTGAAGTTTCGTGTTTTATTGAAAAAAGTCCGCGGTGAAAAGACAAAAAATTGTCAGGCATTTCATTTATAAGTATATAGAGGCTAGAAAATCCTAGCTACATGTCTGCTAAGACGCTTTTATCCACATAAAATTTATTTTCATGCCATGATATCTTCGAACCAGCATGCTTTGAAACATTGAAAGAACCTCTTAGCTTGTGAAAAAAGGAATCGACTTTGTTTGAAAACTGATACCGTTTCTTCAAAGTTTTTATTTTTACAATTACAAAAAAATCGCAACATGGGGGGTGGGGGGTTGAAGCAGTAGCCAAAAGACAAACGAAATCTAGTGGAGACAGCGGTAAAAGCGATCCTGCAACCTGCTTTGGGTGCAGAAATATGAATTCAAGAAAAATCTTGGTTGATGGGAGCTGCGAGTGTGACTAAATAATAATTTCACTGAACTTGATTATTGTATTTTAACAGAGGTTGAGATACTAGGGAATAACCTAGTCTTGCAAAAAGCCCATCCCCCACCCAAGTCAAAATTGCTTGCAAAAGAATATAATGCGCCAGTTGATATTCCTATGACAGCTAAACAGCATTTTCTTCGACTAAGAAATAAAGTTTTTGACTAAGAGCTAAGAGCCTATTTCGTAAATCCAGATCTTTCGACTGCCAGGTAACTTCAGTTCCCGAAACCCTTCACGCCGGGTGAAAATGGCATAAAATCCGCACAAGTCGACTTTTAACCCGCCTTTACTATTCAATATCACTATACAGTTAACGCGTTTAAAACATTGAAAAACAATCATAGAATGTTACATTAATTAATAATGAATAACTTGCAGTTCCGTTTAGGGCATCATGGGCATTTTAGCCAATTTAGGCCATACAGACAAAGCAGTCTGGCCAAAGACGCCTCAATCTGAAATAAAATTCTAGTTTTACGATACCTGATCTCATTTAGATTGTAGCAATAGCATTATTTTCAATAGAAATTCCATATCAGTTTGTACTTCCAGTCTGTTCTTTGTTTACAATATCGTCACTGTTGAGCCATGGGACGACTGTCTGCCCAAGCGGCAGCGCTGGTTGGTAGCAAAAACTCAGACGGCTGAAACTCTCCATTTGTTTCGAAATCAGTGTAATAAAACTCCGATTCAGAGTCCCAAACTATTGAAAAAGTCAATTATGTGTCAAAAATGCAAAATTAGCTCCTTTCACATGCACAAAATAAACATTTGTCCGCAGCATTTTGTTAAAGGTTTCTATAGAGAAACACAATACGTGCTGAGAACATGTCACTTGTGACGTCAAAGATGATCGTCCACTCGTGACGATTTTCGCCTCGAGTCTCAAGTTGTCGGAACAATTGTCGTTTCTCAACTTAAAACGCCTGTATTTCAAAAACGGTAACTGTGATTTAAAAAATTTTTTCGATCCTGGAATTTGCTTGTCACAAACTACCGTTTTAGCCAAACTTATTTTTGCGTGTCAGTTCTCCTTTAAGGGTTTTAACTGACTTGTTTTCTTTGCTGAAAGAAATTTTACTCTCGTGGACAGAAGGGCTGCAGCGTGCCCGCGTAGCGGGCGCAACTGGGTTAGTGACCTTTTAATAAAGTCTTAACAATGCCCGATGCATGTTTCCCGACTTAGAGATCTCTCTTTGGAAATTTTCAAGACTCTGAATGGTCTGAATCCACCCTTCATGAAAGATATTTCTCAAGCTAGATCCTCTAATTATCCATTGCGAAACCCTAATAATTTAACTCATTATTGATAAATCAATGTGATGGTCCTACGTGCAACGGCAATGCTTGTCGTTTTATTGTAAAAATATAATTATACGGTTTGTTTTAAATTTTACTTTAGTCAACGTATCCATCGATTTAGATCAAATTACTTGTACATTTGTATTTTGTAGACAAACTATTTGTAATCGATGTAAAATAAATATGCAACAACAATGAAGAGCGAGCAAAGCGATCTTTCAAATGGAGCTGTGAGTGCCTTCTTTATTGCCCCCTAAGTTGGTTCGCACAAATTCAAGAAGACATTACGTAAACATGAACGATGCTAACAAGAACCCACCGGAGAAGATGAGTGAAACGCTACTTTTACATCACCAGACAAGACAGGACAAGCGTGTTCATTAAAAGTAGCTTTCACGCTGCTCCCTTTGTCGTGCTTGTGGGTTATCTAAATAAAAGAAAATAATTGAAGACATATAAATTATGTAAGAGCACATTTCGAGTTGTGTTTAGTATCCCAAGCAACTGTGCCATAATATGTGACTCATCGATATGTTTATTCACGGCTTTTAATGGTTAGTTGCCGAAAGAATAAACTTGAAAGATGTAAATAACCACAGTATGCGTAACGAAAAAAAATTCTATAGAGTTGGATAGGCTCATGCAACTAAAAAGAACATTAAGCATCCCTTCCCCTCTCCGCCAAGTTGTAACAGGGCTTAAACTGCTTCAGTACTCCCTGTTTCTCTAAGTAGTCATAACAGGCAACAATTGAAAGCGAAGTAGAAGGCAAGCGAGTGGAGGTTAAAAGCTGACTGGCTTAAGCAACATAATTATATAATTAACACACGACCTAAAATCAATAATGAGCAAAAATCAGCATACGAAGTGTACAGTCCTACCGGAAGTTCAAATTCAAATAAATATAAAATATAGTAAATGATGCATCGATGCTAACCATACAGGCGTACCAATTCCGTTTGCAAGGCTATTCGATACTGGTCCAAGATATTTCCGATCTCACCTTTACCTTTTAAAGTGGTTACGCAGGGATTTTGCTCACTGAAATGATACCATGCAATCATCCTTGACTTAGTTTCTATTCATGGATTTTAAATATTCTGTCATTTGTCTTTTCTACAGGATTGCAAAACACAAATTCTCTTTGAAGTCCCCCTCTTAACTAAGCCTTCCTTTCAATTTAGCCCCCCCCCCCCTAAAAAAAATTTCACTGATGCCAAATTAAGTAAACTTGACAAAAACCGGAGATTTTCATTTTATTTATTGGTCGTTTAATACTTCTCATCATGTTCTTATCAAATCAAAATTCAAAGCATGTTTCTTCCAATCTCGACGGATCCGAAGACAAAGATTTAATGCGCATTAAGCACAGGCCATGTGAGAGCTTTTTACCAAAATAACAGGCCGTTGTCCGTTCGAATGTTTGATTTCAGAAGGCGGCATGGTCCAAGAAGATATTTTAGAATTAATAATTGATGATGATGATGATGACAATATTATTAATGTAGAATTGAAGTCTGATGATTCATCCAGATTCACCACTTTAACTTTAATTGGAAAAAGATTACTTGCTAACCTTTGCATCCATTGGAGCATTAAAAACAAACGTAAAAACCACATTTCCGTCAATGATGATTTCCATCTTCAAGTCGCTTCCATCTCCATTTCCAAAGCCTGAAAATATCCAATAGAATTTAATCAAAAAGCTTTCATCCTTTAAACCTTTAATCAAAAAAGATTTTCTTTCTGAATAAAGCCAAGAAACAATGAAAATGATGAAAATTCTACACAGTGTATAACCTGCACAGATGATTCTTCTTGGTACATAAAATTTACCAAAAGTATGCAAAAGTGGTACCTTTAATCCCCTTTACTTTAATGCTGACAAACGCCAATGGCCTTGCAGCTGGAACAATCCCGTTGTGGTCTTTCAACACTCTTTCAATATAACCAACGTAACGACTCTGCAATAAAAAGAGATCACATATTTCATAAAAATATGGCTGAAATTTGCATTATGATAGAAGTCAAATGCTGAGAAAGACAGAAAGAATAAAACTTAAGATACCAGAAAAATACAAAATTTAAACCATTCATATCTTCCCTTTTGAAAGGAATCACCTGAAACTGAATTTTCTTTGAAATTTTTTGACAATTTTTTGGATTTTCAAGAATTTGATGAAATGTACAGCAATGATAAGGAAAAGCGTCTTGTTTTCTTGTTGAGTGCAATCAGTGCCAGCATACTTGCTTTTTGCAGCAACATTTGTACAACTTTCCAAAATCAAGGGAACACTAAGCCCAAAGTGCGATGAAACAAAGATATTCTTGTAATAGATATATAAGATATTTAAGGGGGGGGGAGGGGGGGGGTTAACTAAGCCTAATCTTGTACGTGGACGTGCCATTTTCGTTAAAAAATTTAGACACATTATTCCGCACATGCTTAAAAAAATCTTTTCCCCTAATTCCGCAAGCATGATGAAAATCATACCCATAATTTCACAAGGGAAATGACATTTTGAAAACACAGCAAAATCATCAAACCAATTTCGTATGTTCATTGTTCCAAAATCTCATGATTACACGTTTTTGATATTTTCATTTCTTAGTTGGACATTCATATTGTTAATTTTGCAATATTTTCCCAAAATGGTACCCATAATTCTGCATGTTTCTTCGAATGGTACCCATATTTCCATATATATTTCAAAAAATCATACTGATAATTCTGCACTTTTTCAGTACCCCTAAATAATGGCATGTCCCTGTACCTTCAAACATGTTAAGGTACCTCCCCCCTCTCGAGTAACAGGAGCCAATGAATTTTACATCTATAACAGCGTAAACATCATAAAGTGTTCAAGGTTGAAAAATGCTGTCAAAATATTTTCGAATGAACTGATGATATTGACAATTATCATAAGCCGTTAGAACATACACGCATTCTAACACAACTCAAGACAAGAATCCGTATTTCATAACTTAGACCCAGCAAATTAAACTCGTACTAGGTTTTAAAGAATTTCATATACCTGGCTTGGCGTTTCTACACCTTGAAACCTGCTGCCCTTTGCTCTGTCTGTTCTGCGGTAGCCGAAGTAATGTAGACTTTTCTAGAAGTGATGCGTATGATAAAAAAAGTTTTTTTAAGTTAACGATGTCAGAATCCTCTAATTGCTGAATTGGAATTAAATTGGGTTTATTATTCGGGCTGATGATAACTTCAAAAAAGCAATATCAAAGAAAAGAAAAAAAAATGACAAAACTCTACACATGAAGACAAAATCTGTAGATACCAATATAGGAACGATTGTCACGTTTAAATGAGATGAAACGAATCGTAGCTTACCTCTGCTGTTGAGAACTGGTCAGAATAAAGAAGCCACGAGGAAATGCAAGTGCCAGTTCTACCTAGAATCACATTATATATATATTTCGTGAATGTTTGAAAGAATAGGAGAGGGCCTAAATCTTATGCGGCAATCAGTAATGCGCAGACAAACCTCAAATCTCTGACTGGCCATATCGCACACAGTGTTTATCATTCTAAATGCGTTTTCAGATGTATTTCATGGTGCTCCTTAAGGTCAACTTTCAAGAATTCACACTCAAGAACTTTGTTGCGTATCCCAAATTATCGGTTCACAAACTTAACCTTCAATCGCACGTAGGAATAAGGTCAAATGTTGGGGGCCCAAAACAACGGCACTTAGACAAATACCTCTTGAAATGCCAACATTACTAATCTTACTCTAAACTATAAAATATATATTAAAACAAATCCATCAGCATTTATCATTTTTATAGAGGCTACTTATCTGTAAGAGTAGCTGTATCATTACCTTAGATGGAGACATAAGCATAGTAGGCAAATGAATTAAAGAAGGGAATCTACATCAACTTTGATTTCTAAAGAAAAAATTATCCCTAAAAAAGTCCAATTTTATAGAAAAAAACATTTAACCCCGAAGTAAGGTGAATTTTCTTAAAAAGGGCAATCTTCCTGAAAAAGAGGCCCTTTTGTGACGCTTGAAATAGTTTGGGCAGTTCCTTTATTAATGGAGTTCAGCAAAACATCCTTACAATTTTCCGTCTATTTTTCAATAAAGGATACCCAGTGAGAATATACCTCAGTCAAAGCTTAATCGAAAGAAGAAAAATATATTTAAGAATTTGTATAAATATTCTACCTTTTCCTCCCTTACAATGCACTGCAATTACATGGTCTTTATCTGCAGACATCCAATTTTTGGCATTATGACAAAACTCAAGCAGTTTGCTAAAATGTAAATTAATCATATGAAGAAAATCACCCTGAACTAGTCATTTCTATATTAAACGGAGGCATTAAAGCAACTAGAGACAACATAAAGAAAAGGAAGTTAAAGGCTGTATCAGATTCGGATTATTCGGTATCTGTATATGTGTAAGAATTCAAAAGACTTAAATAGCTTGGCTGAATAGGCAAATGCACTTTAAAACAATTTGACTGCAGGTAATAAACGACAAACAAATATCTTAGAACAGAAGACCAATTTTTTCAAAACTTGAACTGAAGATCAATCTCTACAGAACCAAATTTAGAATGCAAGCCTCTCCCTCTTTGGTTTTCCACCTTGCAGATAGCTAGGTGCATAATTACCGTCAACCGGTCATCCATATTGTCGTTAACCGGTCATCCTCGGTGCTGTATAAGCAGGGCAGAACATTGGGGTAAACAACATGACGGCTGTAAAGGTTTCAAATACAATCATGAGGTAACTAGATAAGAAGCTAAAAAACAAACCTTAGCTTAGGAACATTGTGGTCATCTACAAGGATTCGTTCCACATTGTCGTTGAAATAATGGGTTTCATAACTCCTCTCACCTTAAAAAATGAAATTGCTTTAATCAAAACTGGAATATTTAATAAAACCAAAAAAATATGTAAAATTTCAAAAACTTTCTTAAAATTATTTGTCTTATATCAATATGTCAATAACTGGTTTGTATCAAAAAGCATGGAAGAGCTACACACTCTCACTAACTTAGATGTGACGTCATAAAAAATATTCTTGACACTTCTGAATTTGGACCAAAAAACCCGAAGGACTTTATTGAAGTACCGTGGAGTACATCTAAATTGATAGTTATATCTGGTAAACATTCGCTGGGACTTGACAACATAAGTAAGGCTCTTTCTCCATCAAATAACTGTAATTTGGTCTTGGTTCTAAAATCTGTGAACTAGGCCGAAGCAGTAGTAACCGAATGCAAATTTCTGGTCTTTAATTGGGGCTCGAAAACTGGGGCTCGGAAACTAGGGCTCGGAAACTGGGGCTCGGAAATTGGGGCTCGGAAACTAGAGCTCGGAAACTGAGGCTCTAGAAAAAACTGCTGGAAATGGGCGTATGGGGGATATATATATATTTATTTAATTTATTTATTGCTGTCCAGAGCGAGTTTGAGCAGCCAATAGGAACACACCTCTCTAGTCAAATCGTAATGAGCTGTGCAATGCAAGCCTCGATGCGGAGAGGAGGCGATGAAAATTGTATTGAACTAAGAGGTAGGTAGAACAGAGGTAAAACAATATCATACTTACTACACAAATTATAAACTTTATATTGTCCAGGATGCTTTTCGTTAAAGAATCTCGAAACTTCCTGAAATTACAGTAAGAATTCTGGAAATTAAGACTTCTTATAGAAATAAAATGGGGATTTCAGACAGCCATGAAATGTAGCATCTTTGATATACCTCAAAAAGTTCATTTCTAGGAAGCTTTGTAATTGTGACTAGGACTACTTGATTTATTTTGCTATTACCTATAGCTAGAATTGTTTTGGCTAATCAGACTTTTAGCAACAAATATGTGCAAGTCAATGAAATGCCCAAAAAGGCAAATATCGCATTCAAAAGTCAGTGATACGTCTTTTGTTTTACAAGTAGAATTCACAGAAGAGAGCCAAGGATTTAAATCTTTACATCCACATAGAAAAACAGACAATATAGAAACACTATAGCAAATTTACTCACCGATATTGGATTTCTGTAAACTGATGTTTTACCCGATGAAGGAAATGACATAGCAATCACACGCTCTGAGAGGATTAGGACACAGGCATATTGCATGACAGTTATCATTGATAAGGGAAATAGTACTTTCTAGAAGGTCTAAGAAAATATTTAACTTGAGATAGATCTTATAAAATATCAGGTTAGTCGAAATAAAATAAGGAGAGAGACAATAGGTTTGAAAACCTGTGAAATAATTCTGTCTTAAATGAGAATAGCTTTTTCATACCGAATAAATGCGAGAAATATATGGAATTTATGCTACCATTGTACATCGATTTAATCCTAGACACAGCAGTTGAAAATCTTTATTTGAATAAAAAGGTTATGCAACAATTTATCAAGTTAGAGCCAAAATGGACTACCTCTAAAGAATATTAGTTGAGCCACTTATGAAAAAAGTTTTCTATTTGGCATATGAAAAATAACACACTACTTATATCACAATTATTATCCAAAGCAAACACCATGCTTAGGCTATGGTCGCGTTTTTTGCCGACTTTGTATAAATGAACATACTGGACTCAATAGTATACCTGTAATGTATGTTAAGTCTAGATCATAACCATCTTTCTGGTATCTTCTTTTGTTCTGGGAAACCTAAGATAGGCAAATATAAAAAAGCGCTAAACTTCAGATCATATCAAACCATTAACACGAGATACTGGTGTGAAATTTCCGTTTTCAGCAGTATAGCAAATTTCCGAGTATAGCAAATTTACAATGTTCTAAATCAACTTTGAAACTACTATTTTTGCCAAAAATAGTTGGAACCTTACAGTATCCATATCTATAAAACTGACAACACTAGAATTTAATGAGGTGTCCAAGTTATCAAAGCTATAAAACTGCGAAGATTTTGTCTAGGTGTTGCAACAATATTGGAAAGAATTGTAGGTTACAAACACACGTAGCTCAGCTAGGTCCGTACAGAAAAATGCATCCCCCAGGCCCCATTCTTTCAGATATAACTGAAAATACATACATCTAATCTCTGACGTTGACTCAAAGTGGCTCAATAAATAGGTTAGGCAAACATTTATCTAAAGGTGTTACATGCATCCAGCTTACCAACAAACATACCAAAGTTGTTGTTTCACTGAGAAATGATGTCATATCTACATTTTCAACGATCATTAATCTTCTTTTAGGTAAGTCATTTATTCAGTAAATGAATAGATCTTGTTTACTAAGAAATGCACTTAACAGAAGGGTGGGAATCAATCTTTCTTTCCTCTCTAGAAATTTAGTGGAGAAACCGTGCACCGTATATGCAAGAAAACAGGGTGAAATCAGGAGACTTAACAGTGAAATAAATTGCAATACGACAAGTAGGATACATAATATCTTTTTTTCAATGTTGGGTTGGTGTATGCTATTTTAGAATGCAGACGTAAACAAGACATACGAGGTATTTTGAAGACTTCTCTAAATGCTTTCTTCCAGTGAATAGTCGAGCGAGGAGGAATATTCGAAGAAGTCGTAAAATCACGATAAGGCTACAAAAAATACATCAAATAATGTTAAATTTGAATACATTGTAAGAGTATAGCAAAGCATACCATATATCAACACAGAATGAGACATGGGGCAAACATAAACTTTTAGTAGAATAAAAAAAACCCACTCAAAGAGTTATAATCAATACGAATACCAGTCCTTGAACTATTAGATAAATCGACATAATAACAACCAAAAGGGCGGACAAAGTAACCATGTAGCAAAAGATATGAGAAGTTTTTCAAACGACCTTAGTTGAATTTTTATTGGTTTAGTTTGAGAAAAGGTAAAACACAGGGCTAAATTCTCAAAACAAATATTTAAAAGGTATTTTGGCATTTTGGGTGACTTGCTAGTTATCAATTAGCTATATTTGAAAAATGAATCTGCCATAGAAGAAAGTCACTCTGCCGCATTTTAGGGATATAAGCAGACTATACTAGGCATAGCAGAAACAATTATGAAAAAATGCTAGGCCTCAAAAATTTACATTTGCTCAATATTACCCATGATATGATAGAAATATTTCGCTGGACGTTTATGTACCTATAACGAGTATCATCTATGGAATGTTTAATCAAAATAAAATCGTAAGGACCACATTTTTGATACAGATATAACATTTAGTATTTTAGTACATAGAGAAATCAATAAATCATAAGGATTGTGGGAGAAAACTATCGTTTCCAGACAGATTTAGGATACGATTTCGGACAAATTTATAATTAATTTTGATGGAATAAGGGCTCAAAAAGGCTTAGGTAATAAAATCCCTGTCTTTATTGAGCTAAATATTAATTTAGAAAAACCAAAGAACTATACATCGAATTTAATATAAACCATCAGACGAGATAATAATTTGAAAGCTGGTTCAGCTAATTGTGTCAAATAAAGAGCTGTATTTCAAAGGCTGAATATAGCTTAGTACATCTGTAGATGAACACTGTCAAAATTACAGCGATGAGGACTGGGACGATGATAAGACTTTTGTAGGCTGTGATAAGAAAAATGATGAAAATGCTTCCCAACAGATAAAAATATACAGACTGTCAGATTTTTCATAGTGTCTGACAATCTTTCATCGTTTTGAGACATTATTTCGGTAGTTATTCTGGGTAGTTTGGGTACCAATATTTTTCCTTAAAAACAAGATAAATTTGTTACACTTTATGTATCCTTTTTCCTACCTTGCATATCGTGCATGAGGTTGATTCTTTTCATCTGTTAATATAACTTCATTCACAATAGTGGCGATTAGTGCAATAACAATAATAATCATGTCAGCTATTTCCACCCAAAGCTTGAATAGCTCAAAACTAGAAAGAAAGTTTTTATAATTTTACAGCTTCATCAAAAAACAAAAAGCAAAGTAAAATTGGCTAACAGCGTTTGTTTAGCTTTATGTTTAACTGGATGTGGTTGTTTGCTTAAAACAAAGAAACAAATACTTAGTAGAAGCAGCACAATTCTGCAGACGCATTTAGCAATAGTTGTGTGCGAGGACACCTTATACATTGTCAATAACAAATATAGGAGTTAAATTCTGATTCAGAGCCAATTTGACGTCTTCCTTTCTTTTTTGCAGCTTTTATAATAAATTAGGTTAGCTAAGCTTGTGCCTTAATGCTTCAGCAAAGAGATAATGGTTGAAGAGGAGTAATAAAAGATCAATGGCAGGTTGCAAATTTTGAAAAGATTTATAAAAAGCTGTCTTCTAAAAACAGAAGTTCATGAGGAAAACAAAGGATTTGATAGGCTATCAATCAGAAGAAACTGCATAGGATCCAGTCAGCATCCTGCAACAAAGTTCACTTTATATGTGATTCATCAGAGATAAACAAAGTTATGTATATTGGAGAACTGTAGAATAACATACCCCCAAGAAAAGAAGCGCAAAAGCAGCTCTACCACAAAGTATGACACGATCACCAAAGATACAATTTGCAGGCCCTACACAAAACAAAATATTCAATGAAAGAAGACTGAGGCTAGAGTTTATGCTGTTAAAAATTCTTTTCTGTATAAATGGTTAACGATCAGGATAATACAACAGAATTGACACATTTATGATCATTGCTTATAACATGTACTTGCATTTTAACAGTATTCCGCAAGCTCAAAAGGGGAATAGTTTTAGATGAATTCTTTGTGCTTTTGAGTGGCGAGAACATCCACCAATCAAAACTTCAGGTTAGATCATGATTTGCAATGATTTCCCTGTGATTCTGTGCTAAGCTAGACTTGATACTGGTCATGGCAAGACTTCTCCTGTTTGGCACTGATTTTTTTTAAAAATTGAGAAGGGTGACAGTGTTTTATCATGCCAAAGATGAATAAGTTGTCAACCTCTTCAAACATAGCAATACAGAAATAATTAATTACTTCATAATTTATCTATTAATGAAGACAAAAAATGTGGCAAGAAATAGAAACATTTATGGAGAAAATTCAAAATGTTTGCTTTCAGAAGCACACTCTTTTGTCCGCATGAATAAACCAACAATGGCATACATGATATAAGTTGGCAAGTAGGCAGATTATAAACATCTGTGTTCCTAGAGCTAAAGAAAATATAATTTTCATAAAATTTGGTAAATGTACAAGAAATAACAAAATGTCTTACCAATGATTCATTGTTTGTTGCTAAGACGACCAACACACACACTACATCAATAAGTACTAATAAGACACTGAATAACCTAGAAAAAAGAGAAAACATAGTTAGCATTGGGACAAATTGACATTGGGCATTTAACATCAAAATATCATACTTGTTTCATTTAAACTTTTCATTGCAGTCTATTGATAGAAACTACTTTCTTTGCATTCACTGTATTTTGCTTTGGGTTTGAATAAAGTTTTCTGATGCAATATTACTCCAATTCAGCAAAAATATAATCAACTATAAAATGACTGGCTATAGAATAACAGGATAATATATTTAAGTTTGAGTTGTTTGTATGATCGCTTGATTTATTGCACTGTTGAAGAGATGATGACTTCAAGATCGTTAAATTGTTCCAGTCATTCACAACTCTGTGTTGCACTGCTTTTTTAATTAATTTTAATTTGTAAATAATTTTTTTGATTCATTTTATTATTTTGCTTCAATTTAAATAGAAAAGATGGATCAGTATCCATAAAACCATTTAACAGCAAAACTGTTTTTTAATGAAAGTTTTAATCTTAATAATGCCTCGTTATCTACAAAAATGATAAACAAACCTAGTGGCAATGTGATCCATGACTAAATGCAACTTAAACCTTGCTTTCCTGAAAGAGAGCAATACAAAAGGTACTTTATCAAGCACAAGAAATGAACTTTCCTACCTGCTTGATGACAGGAACAAATTTTGTCTATGATAACCTGCTTGTAGAAATTTGAAACTTATCTCATCATTACCCCTATATGTTGTTAGCCTCGGGGGAATGGCAATAATAGAAACAACAACAATATTTCAACAATATCATCAATAATATTCTTGAAAACCGAAACCCCATCTTGCTATGCGCCAACAAATTTAAGGTCTTTAGCATTGAGCATTAAGGCATAGCAAGTGTCATGACAACTGAAGCTTGAGAGAACTAAAATATATTGGTCAACTGCATCATGACGAAATTGATGTTTAAGGAATGGCTAGTTCAATTTGATTTTATACCCTCCAGCTTTTAAAAAAAAAGGGCTTAGCCAGAAACTCAGTCAAGTTATTATATGGTTAAAGGAGCTTGTAACAAATTTCCCAAATGAGACTGAGTAGGGAAAATCTTAACCAAATTTCTAAAAAATAGCAATCAAAGTTATACAAACCCTAAAGGTGTTCCCAGGTCCCATATTCTGTTATCTGGTGTGCTTAGAGAGGTCAGGGTTCTATCCAAGAAATAATCATTATCAAGAGCATCTTTAACTGCTACTCTCTCAGCTACTGTGCTAGATGGAGCAGCATCATTCTTGCTCTCAGGACCTGCTTCATTATCATCCTCCCATCCTTCAATATCATCATCATCTTCATAGATCAACTGCTCCTCGTCATTAAACATCTCGTACTTTTGGTAACTTATCACCAGTGACATGTTGAATTCATTGAATTTCTGTCAGGAAAATTTATTATGATTCAATGCAATATACATCACAAGCTTCTCCGTACTAACATTGACATATTACCATAGCCTCATTCTACCATGTCTCATTCCTCATACCCTAGACTGTATAATCTTAAAGGAGCTCATTCAGGAGTTTGATTCTTTTCTTCTCAAAATGACTTGAGTGTCTTCGGTACAGTCTTTCTGTGCTCCTATACATTCCTAATACTTTGATCAGCAACTACATTTTCAAAAATGGGTTTGGAAAAAGAAAACATATTAGCACCTATATATAGGAACGCTGATTGACGATGTTTCTATATTTAATTTTGCTTTTGTTGTTGCGAATGCTGTCGTTTTTATGTCTGATTTAACGTGCAGAAAACACGGAGCCAGCAAGAGACGATATTGCGTGACCGTTGCATCTTGATGAATTTACTGACTGACTGAATTAAATACAGGGCGTATACAAATAAAACGAGGGGACGCTACAAATGTGTTGTTTATTACGTTACGTGGATACGAAGACAATGGAAAGTGTTAATGATAGAGACACAATGGAGGACATGATTACATTTAGACAATGGTCACTACACACTCATCTGACACTCTTCAGAGAAGAAAACGTCAGAACATAGATTGAAAATTCTATATATACTGGACATCTATATATACATATGATATATATAAATATATAAAACGTCAGAACATAGATTGAAAATTCTATATAAACTGGACATATATATATATACATATGATATATCATAGATTGAAGAAAGTAAAACTACATGGTTTATCTCTACAAGCCTGTTTCGTGAGTAACTCACTCTTCAGGAGATGTTATACATATGATATATATATGATACTCATTTCATTGGGCTGTTTGGCTCAATGGAATGAGCGTGGGTTTTTGAAGCAGCAAACTTGAGTTTGATTCTGACCAAGACTGATTTGATACAATTGGGCAGCACCCTTGTGGAAAGATTTTCCTCCTGTCAGCCTTTGCCTTAGGATTACTCATGTATGGTTAAAATGGCTCTATACTAAATATGTTGTACCAAAATATTAGTCGAGTGAAAAGGGGTCAGCCACTCATTTATCATAGCGGATGGGAATAGAAAAACAATGGCACAACATCGCCAGTTTCCATTCTTGTGTCTTAATATCCAATCAAATGTAGTTTTTTACGCTTCATCGTTGACCACTTAACAGGATTTGAAAAAAACCCTTTACCTTAAGATCTAATGTACAGTGTCAGGTGTCGTCATGATCATCGCATCATCATAAGATGGCCTAGAAAGGTTTTTGAACTAGGCAGGAGATCATGGCTTCACTGCAGCCATGTAGATCAAAGAAAGTACACTTGCATGCACGAGATCCATTTAAAGACTGCCACACTCCTAAAACTGGCCCTCCCACACCCGGTAGAAAACCAAATCAGTTGAAGAAACTTTCTTAGAAAGAGTAGCTATTGACGAAACTTGTGAATCTTTCATAGTGTGAACAAAAACAATACTGCTGCCTACCTGTATCAATTGACCTTGAAAATTAAGACTCAGTCTTCATAAAACGTTTATAAAACACGAGAGCTCTCTCATGACTTCGGCCTTCCTTCACCCTACCTGTTATTCGAGACATTTGAGCAGCCTTGTCCATTCTTCACAGTGGGATCCATATTTGTTTCCTTTATCTCCCGCCAGCAAGAATCATAACGAGGTTGTATAGATCAGTGAACCACAGAACCAGTGTGTTGTCCAAATACACGTTTTTCTATTTATAATGTGGTTTATAAGAAACTAATACTAAGATGACCAAAAGTTTAAGAAACTTGGTACTAGGCTCTGGACTTTGATTTGCGTGGGTTTTTTCGTGACAATCAGCTTGTATATTTATCCAAAAATGCTCAACTTCCAACAATTGGGCAATTTTAGGTCACGAATTTTAGGAAACCAACCAAAAAACTTCAGTACTACACAAAAATTTGATGCCAATTTAAGAGGCTCTTCGTGCTTAATGCTGATACAAGCTTTTTATAAAGTAAATACGTGTACGAAATACAGTAACAACAGTGCAAATCAGTTAATTGTATCGCCAATTTAGGTTCTACTAAGTTAAAAACTAAGTTTTATCTTAATATTCGTTTTCACCGTCCCTCGGCCACTCTTTTCTTGAATTATTATTCCACTTGGGCTCCTCCGCCTCCCAAACTTCTGCCACCATGCTTTCCAATCTACTTTCTTACCTTCTGGGTTTTCCTTAGCCATCTCTAAATTTTACTTCATTCTCCCCTTTTTTCTTCCAATCCTTCAAAAGACAATTCCTGTTCCTTTTTCTCCCTTCTCTTCCTTTTTCATATATTTCTCACACTGTCGCTCTCTTTTCTCCTCTCTTCTTTTCCTTTCTTCTGGACGACTGAGCTTCAAACGAAACAGATTCGTGGCTTTGCATACTTTCTCCACCTGTTGTAGGTTACGTTGATTGACAGTGGGAGAAAGGCCTATGTCTTATTTTTGCACTTAAAAAATATCAACAAACAATGCACGCAGACGATAATTAGTTTTTCTTTGTAAAGGTACTCAGATACAATGCTAAAAATATACACCAAACGAATAACAGACGAGGAAGATAATCTATACTGTATGTACCCCATTCTAACCCAGACAGCTTCTGATACTAGCAAGCATGTTGCTGTGCAGTCATTTTAAAAACTTATATAAATTATATAAATACTCTCATATAAATTTAAATTCTAAGCCCAATCCAGTCAACAAATCTTTGTTATTATAAAGCATTAGAGCGATTTAAGACATTCAATATTTCTAAGTCCTTTCTCTTCGTTAAAGTGCGGGTATTTTACATGTGTGTATTTTTCGCATAGTGATGAAAATGAGAAAGAATGTGGGGCTTTGAACCCTTTTTAACAAAATTTGTAACTGTATACACAGACAAAGTCCAGATGAGATGGAGAAAATTGACAGCAATTTTTTAACTCTGTGCAAAAAATAGTTTTGGCAAACTTAAAAAATCGTAATATCAAGGTCCTGAAAACAAGCCGAACTGTGCTATAGGTAGAAAGATCCTTATTTGATCAAGAAAGAAAAACAAAACCAAGTTTCAATTGATTTCATTGATCATCACATATTTTACTTTACGCACAATAGCATTGATCGCTCATACAAAAAATACTTAACATTTCTGAAACAAATAATTTAGATTAACCCAAATTTAACACAAATTATGTGCTTACAATGACAAACAAGTCTCAAAGCATGATGACAAAAATCTGATTTATTATTGCACGATGTTGGAATAATTGCTCTGCTATTAGAGAGCGACAACTCATTTAAGAGATAGAATCAAAGGTTATGCCTAGAGATGAAATGCTTTCATTAAATGCTTTTGAAATAAACTAATAGGTTTCCAAGGGCCATTTGTGGTTTTCTGCAAATCTTCAATGGGAACTGAAGTTACTTAAAACCTTAGGATACTTTTTACTAGAGGCAGGAACCAGCATGATAAAATGAATAGGGTTGGTAAGAGACAGGTTTAAACATAACACAATTTAAACTACATACTGCAGTCAACAGTCATTGCAATTGAGATGACATATGGCAAACTTGCCAAACTTTATAGATGATCTAATGCAAAAAAGCTAAAAGATTTTAGTTGCAATAAATACAGCTCCTTTAAAACTTGGTTCTTTCAATAAGATGCTTGGGAATAGTCCAACATTGTCTACATAGATAGTGCATCAAACAAGACATGATATGTGTCAACCTAGCCAAAGATATTATGAGATGCACCACCAGGGGGCTGCCTGTTCCTTGCTCTTTGCCCAATTACCTCACTTGAGCCTCCTCCAAATACATTTTGGCTTGTGCTCGCAGGAGCCTGCTTCTTTGGCTGGTCAGCTAAAAGAAATAAAGGTTCATTATTAAATACTATACAAAGCTCGGTATTAAGCTAATAGGGACAGCTCTGAGTTGGTTCCGTGTTGGGATTTTATCAGATTTTGAAAACTAAAAGGAATATAAGTTACTTTACCTGCACTTCCACCAAAAATATTCTGGGTTGAACTAGGAGCAGCCTGCTTCTTTGGCTGGGCAGCTAAAACAAATATGATATCAGCATTATATATTAGAAATCTAAACATTGCAAATTGGATAGGTAACAATAGGTCCATTGTGTAGTCCAACAAATGGTAAATTTGAGATAGCCAGCAACATGTTTCAAGGTAGAGCCTTTAAAAAGAGATAGATTAAAGGTCAGTTGTTTGCAAGATATCATACTATCTCTGTTTGACTGACAAAACCTTATGTTTTTAAAGTCTGTTCCAAATGAGATTTGGCAAGCTTGATATTGATGTAAATTTGAGCATTGCCTATTTCTTCAGTGTATTGTTTAAGATTAGCACAGAGTCAATGAAAATTGAAGCTGGCATACTTCTAGCTTTGATTAAGATCAGTCAGTCTGTTCAGCCAGGTTTTGCATCCAGATTTTGAGATTAATACCCATGCACTAGCCATTTTCTAAGAATTATTGTTGTCTATGCTCACAGAACAAAAGATTTCTCATTCAGTAAAATTATTTTGGTACATTTGTTCAGGCAAGAAATAAGTCTAATCTACCAAACATGTTTGAGTAATTCAAGGGTGGAGATTCTTTAGGTAAAATTATATATAAATTTATTTACCTTGTGGTTTTGCCTGTTCTTGTGGGGCATCAAATATTGAAAAATTACTCTTTCCACCTGGAGGTGCCAAAACCTTGGTTGACGTATGTTGTCCAGCTTTATCATCTGAAGTACTGGTGTTGGTTTGTCTAACAGGTGGAGACACTTCACGTGATGGGTTCATTTCCTCTGGTCCAGCAAATACACTTGATTTACTCCTAGCCTCTTGACATTTGTTAATTGGCTTTTGTCCTTCTGGTTCTGGTGTCGAAAATACATTGATATGTGTTTGACCACCAGGAGGTGCCATCACCCTATAAGCCAGAAAAATACCTCAATTAAATTTTTATTTTAATATCCAGGGCTTTCAATTTGGGGTGCACAAGCCTGCAGGCACGTGCCTAAGATTACCTTTGAGAGCAATTAGTCACACACCCAGTGATAAATATTTCCCTTGAAGAGCACGATAACCAGATGTTGATAGATATACTTGACAAACTCTTTTTAGAAATGGAAGTTTGACATCAAATCCTTGTTTCCACTACCCCATTTTCATATGTCGCTGTTTTCCAATCATTTATTTTCCGTTATTCTTGAGCTGTTCCCTTTGCTCCAGCCCACACCATTTTGATCAAAATGAAATGAAGGTTTTTCTATTATTGTGTTTTTTCAGTTTTCATATCCTTTGTTCTTGAACTAATCTTGAAACTTAAGATGAACGAATTCACTTTAAATGAATCAGTTCTCTAATTATTTCATTCTTGCTGTTCCCATTAAAATGATTCGTTTTCAAACAACTCTGTTTTTGGTTGAAACTTTGAACATCATTATAAAAAATGTCTCTGTTTTTGAGAGTATCAATGGAAACACAAAATCTAAAACGGATTCATTTCAATCCGTTCTCATACAAAAAAGGAGTAATGGAAACAGGGCCTAAAGACTTGGCATACTTTTGGTTAAATTATTTTGTTTTCAAGAAACTTTATTTTGCTTTTTTTGCCAAATAATTTTGTTTTTAAAAAAATTATTTGGCTGTTTAAAAACCTTGAATGCTTTTTCAAACAGCGATACACCCCTTCAATTACATATATATATACATGGCACTTAAAATACTATCAGGTATTTTATGGATTGCATGCCATTGCACTGATTTGGGTCATTGTAATGATTGCATATGAACCTTGGCGTACACCTGGCCTATCCTTGTCCTGAGGTTTACATGGAATAAACACTTGAATATCTGAAGTATCATTTCATTGAATCGTAATCTTGTGAAGAAACTTACAAGCCTATCTCTAAAATTGGTGCAGTTTTAGGGAAAATTTCACATAGCACCAAAATCAGAATAACAGCGAATAACTCCATAAGTTGTATTTCTTAGACCATACAAAATAGTTTGATTTATGCAAAGTGATATTTACTGAATTATGTAAGGTTTGGAAAATTTGGCTTCCCTAAATTGTATAAAGCATCATAGCTGAATGATTGATATACACTTAAAAAAATTGTCTGACTTCACAAATGTCTGACTTATAAAATCTGACATAATGCAACAGAAATCAAATGCTTTTAAATTAAATGAATTGGGACCAAACATTTTTGTCCGAGTTATGAAATATCTAACTTATGGGAGGCTGACTCATTTGCGAGTTTGACTGTATGAACAAATTGGGAACATGTTTACTAGACTGGAAACTTTGTGTCTTGCGCACAGACAAGTTTACTTTAAAAGTTTTAGACTGTGCACCTGAAATCATACACTCATAGCTTTTTAGAGTTAATAATGATAAATGTTATTATCAAGGAATGTTTCATAGCCAAAGCCAGTATGCAAAAGCATGCAGATGTGTACATGGACAATAAATTGCGGGCATGAAATAAAATTTCCAGTCTGGCCTTGATATCATGGTCATTGTACATGCGACAATTTGGGAAAACTTCTAGGTATGGCTAAATGAATTGATGTATTGATGCAGAATTATTCAACACACCATGGTTGTATGTACTCAAATAAACCCCCATCCAAAAATATCAAAAATTAATAAGCCCCCAGGGGGCTAATTCGAGGATTTACGGTATTGATCATTGATAGAAATTCTAACATTGTATAATATAAAGCAGAAGATAACTATCGGTTATGTTTATTAGATCAAAATAACTTCGTAACCATGATAGAGAATTTTGTTATGGTTACAAAAAAGGCAACAATTACAAAATGCTTAGACAAGAACTGAAAGAGAGTTATGGCGAGTTAAGGTAAATAAACCAATATTTCATAAAAACAAGCCTCATGGTCCCGACTAAACCGGCCTATTTTTACTTTTAGAAACCACCAGTGCGTAACAAAGTTCAACCTCAGTGGCACACATGACTGAGCTGAGCTTTGACTGGATAAGGGTGCGTGTAAAATATAAACACAAAGTACAAATATGTACGCACAAGAATGTACACACAATTTAAGCCACAGGAACTCAACTACATTACTTAATTCATTGTGTTAGGAATTCAACACACGCATTGAGTAAAACAGCAGATGGTAATTACTACGAAAGCTCCGACCCTTCAGGGCCTAACCTTGTCTTACTAAGCGATGGGCACAGTTTCAAAGAAACTTACTTGGTGGCTGGCTTTTTTAGCTTATTGATACCATGATAGTATCCGTCATCCATGATTATAAATAAGATTTCAATCCAAAGATTCACGTAAGACCTGCTGGTTCTGGCGCGTCACCCACTTTTCCAGCTGCCACGAACTGCCGCGCTTTTTTGTTGTTTCAAAAACTCATCAACCTCATCCGGGAACTTAGCTGATCGCAACGATCTACCACTGAGATCACCACAGCGAATCGGTGCGATCAACATTGTCAAAGAGGCTGACGTTTTGCATATCTAAGAAATGCATTAATGTTGCGAAAATTGCGAGGGTATTGGGAGGGGGGGGGGGGCCGCCCCCAAAGAAAGTCATTTATCGGCAAATTTGCTTGCTTTTGTGGGCATTGCCCCCCCCCACATGAAAAATGAATTTCCGCCACTGAATTGAAATGAATAAAATGATTTACTTAACCACTTACCAGAAGCTAATGATTAATACAGTTCTCTTTGTGAATCTAATTGACGAAAGGTGAAGATCTTACTTTGTTTTTCTTTCGGTCACATCAGTGTTTAAAAACCAAAAGCGTAGGAACATGTCAGAATTTGAGGCCGAAACAAAAAAAGGGCAAAATATAGTCTCATAGAACTGGGATATAAAATTTTTCAAGAGGATCTTTTCAAAAAAGGGGAAACATTTCTTTGAAAACAGGAGGCATGTATCCTCTGGTCTCCCTGGTTCCTATTGTAAATGTGATAACCCCATTTTTTCGCCTTAAGTTTGATAGATAATGCGATTTTTTTAATCTTGCATTCTAGAATGCTTAGAAAACTTTTCATTTTATTAGAACGATGCATGGGCTCTGACAAAGGTTGAAAAGTGAGGGGGCCAAGGGCAAATTTAACACCCATAACAAACGATTTTGAGAAAAACTCTATTGTTTTGCAAAAAAGTGGGGGGCCAAGGCCCCCCGGCCCCCCCTCCGTCGGAGGCCCTGCGATGGAATCCCGATAGTTTTCCTTTTACTCTGATAAAGCTCTGTATCATTGGAACATTGGTATATACTAATTTTTTTTAGAAAACCCTATTTTGAAACATTGGATTCTCGTTGTCACTTTGCATTGTTCTTTACCATTACTAGAATTCGGATACTCTGTTAAAAATCTCTCAGTTTGATAAAAACCATAATGAAAAGACCCACTTTTTCAAAACTTGAAGTGATGTTGATGGTTGTTTTTTGTGAACAAATTTAAGACTAGTTCACAAGGTATCAAATGAAATTATCAATATTCCCCTACATTGAAGTTTCTGTGACAAAGAAATTCTTTCATGAAAAAAATAGAAATATCAATAATTTAACCTAAATGGATCTTTGAAATTTCCCAATACTGGTACGATTTGTAATTACCATGTTATTAAGAGCTATAAATAAATAAAGACAGTTTAATTAACAGTGGGTGCCTCTTTGCTTATGGACCCGTAGACAATTTTCACCCCCCCCCCCCTTCGTTGAGCAAGATTATACAGCCTGAGAAACGATTTCTGGACTCAGTATGGACTCAGATATGTACAAAATTATGCCCAGAAAAGAAACCTGAAGCAGAGAAAAAAAGATAGCGATCCAAATAGCTGTACATCATTTAACATCAAGCAAATCGATTATACGCAAATCTCTTGTCAAAAGTACATATTTGTGTTAAATAAAACCACTCCTTAATTTACATTATCAATTATTTCCAACGTCTCATATAAAAATATTACATTGTTGTGGTATCATACATTTTCTAAAGCCAAAACATCTTTTTTCATTATCAAAGTTGGCGATTTATAGATCGTTTTTTATCCTTCCTGTTATTTCATAATAGCGCTATTACAAAGAAACAGGGAAATTCTCACGTTGGATCCTGCTCAGTAAAGATTAATCTCTCATAGGGTTAACAATCAGGATTCGGGCTGCTTCTTTTTAACGTTAACGCCAGGTGCTTTTGCACTCAGGTTTAAAAGTATTGATCTAAGATTTAGAGCTAGGAAAGGTCTTTCAACATCCAAGTTGGCAGCTAGTTCTCGAATAAGTTTACTGAACTGAACATTATCGAAGTACTTCTGATTGGACCTGGAAGAGAGAAAAAGAATGTTTGTCAAAGTATATTAGAGGGGAGGATGTAATAAACAATAATTTAGAGTTACCTTTTTAGGTTATTTGGGTTGTCACAATTTTAAATTTTCAAATATGAAAATCGCCCCTAAAAAAGTTAGATTCAGCCTTTTCATTACTTCTTTATTAAAATCAGGCCTTCCAAATTGTGGAAAAAAACAATAATTACAGTTACAAGTGCGCTGAAGACATTGAAAATGCATTACAGTCTTCATTCCAAGTTTTAATTTAATTTCTTTAAATAATGTAATCAGTAATCAATGTGGTTTGTTGAATTCGACTCTAGTAGGGCAGAATCTTAAATAAACTAATATTAAATAAAAAACCAGCCTAACTATTTTCAGGACATTTCGGCCCTATTTTAATCAGGCTGAACATTGGTGTCATTTTACATTGGCAAAATTATACTGACAACAGGGCCCACACCACCGGGGAGGGGACGGGGTGGCCATGGGCTCTCACTTTTTGCGAAGCGAGTAGTTTTAATGCTGCAGTAAAAGGGAAAAGAGGCCTTGGCCCTCTACTTTTTCTAGTCTTGCCCCCCACCCAACTTTCAAATTCGTGGCATGAACCCTGGACAACCCTAACGGATAGAAAGAGATGACGTGTCAGTCCACAGATAAGTGTATATTGGCGTGTATTTGGTTTTCTGAAAAAGAGGTGATGGATATATCAGAGTCAGGGGAGATTATACTGATTCAAACAATATTTATCAGGGTTTAATAAATTCAAAATAGCATATGGATTAAACATTTCTGTTCTAAAAATATAACGTTAAAAAATTAACACCGACACTCACTTGATTTTCGAAAGCCGTTGTAATACAATACTAAGCTTTTCTAACACCGCATTTTCAACAGATCTCCGTTGGAACAAGTCATAAAATGTTTTTATCCAAAGCTGATTGCTAAGACTTTCTAAAAACTGTCCCATGAATGCTAAGAAACAATTGGAAATACATTTAGTCGATACACGATTTAATGGATATAAAGCACATTAAAAAACAAGAATTACGAAATTTGGACTTAACTCTACAAAAATTCTTGACTAGAATAGTTAGCGATATAAATGATGCGATATAAAAACAAAGTGATAATATGAATACGAATAAAAATAGTATGATTTCTAATAGAATCTGCATAACAATACATCGACCGCTTCATAGAGTCATATTTTTCTAAAAATAATATCTCGAAGTTAATAATGGCCTTAAAAAGATTCTTTGAGATTCACGGTGCGCATTTCAATTAAGTAGCAAGTTGATTAAAAACGATTGCCACTATCGCTTAAAATAGTTTTTCATAACATTAAAATGTCGCTAAATATTCAAGAAAGTAGAGCTTACGTGATTCGACTGTTATTTGCATCAAAACGTCAACTGACAAATGCAAAAGCCCCTGCAAATGAATAAATTTACTGAAATAAAAGACGCCGTTTTCATAAGCAAATTGCGAGGTAATAAGAGCAGTGAAATAAAAGTTTATATAGAAGATTAAGCAGAGATTTAAAACTGATTTTGCTTTCAGGACTTCAAGGCATTGATGGATCTATAGACGTAGCAACCGAGGAAGATAGGGGGGGGGGGGCGTACACGACTCCACTTTTAGATACAGTGGCAAATGCCTATTTGCAACTCACTGAGGTGTCCCCTTTGTGTCCACATATGCCCATCTTATTTTTGAAATGCATTCTATATCTATGGTTGAACCATACAAATTCAAATAAACCAAAATGATAAAAAGGAAATACGAACGTCCTAAATTGTGAACCTAAGTTCTCATTGGAATGTGTTAAGTGCTTTGTAAAGATACTTCTTATCAATAGAAGGTGGCATTGGTACTGAAAACAGGGGAAATCAGATTTGTCGTGTCACGATTGATAAAACAAATGAAAACCGTCCCATAACTTTGTCAATCGTGTCTAGAACTAAAGTGGCCACTTTTGTAAACAGTTTTAAAGATAACCAGCAGAATATCACTGAACATAAAGAGCTGTAATGGCCTAGAAACTGTAAACTAATGTAGTCAAAACTGCAGTAAACTCCTCGACTAAGATAGCACTGAGTTTTTTCAGAAAGGTAAGCGTTGTACTTAATTGAACGCTGTACAACATTCTGCATACCATTCATGTCAAAACCTAATCATAGCAAGGGAAAAAATAATCGAGAGAAGAGCTACAAAATTAGTAAACAATCACTAAAGATCATGGTTTTTTTAAATCGCTTAAGGTTCAAGTAATTCAAATAACGTTAGTGAGCTGCCAACGACTCTTCTAAACAAACCTTATGTTTTCCACCAAGAAATGATAGCAAAACAGCCGCGCCATGGAAATGAATGAAAATTTCTTTGCCCTGAAACAACGAGGAAAGCAATGGAGAGACTTAGTTACAGCTAATGCTCGAAAGCATCACCAAGAAAAATGGGCAACAGTACGTACAAATTTTAACATGCAAGAATCAGAAAGTCATAAAAATAATTTGCTAGCTGAAAGTAATCAAAATGTGATGTAGTAGCCTTTGGAGCAAAAATTTGTTTTATTTCTCAGAATGATTTTGATTTTATGAATCCTCGATGCACCAGAAAAATTTGGATCTGTCTTCGCACAAACCAGACTCTACACTAATAATTTAGACAATTCAACAACGTTTCAATCCCGTTAGGTATCGTATCAGAAATTCAATATTGTTTTCAAATGAGCCATATTTGAAAGTAAATTAAAGTACTTTTTCAGACTACTTCGTTCACTTGGTTTGGCAACCCCTTTGCTGATTAGAAGCAACAAATAACTTTATATAAGTCGAATTAGACGAAGTAAGCCTACGGACGGTTAAAAAGTCTAGGTCAGCCGCCATAAAATATGTGCTGTCAGCTGACGCAAAGCTGAACGCCTTTAAGGCTCTGTTTTCTGTATCCGTTTTATACAAAAAGGAATAAAATTTAATCCGGCTTTGTTCAAATTTTCCAATAAGATGCATCAAAAAGGATGTTTTAAAAAACGCTATTGAAATTGGAGGTTTTTGAAAATGGAGATTTTAAAAATGCGCAGTTTTAATGGAAACAAAAAACAATCAAAAATGAAGGTTTTTGTTAAGTGGATACAGGAAGCACTCTCATTGTTGTGTTGTTAAAACGGCATACGGCAGAAATTAAAATGGCATGAAATCACCGGAGCTGAATTACACAAAAACTGAGACCTAGATTTCACATTAACATAAAAAATGCTTTCGAAATACGTGAAAAGGTATATTGTTTCATAATTATATTTCCAAAATAAAATCAATGCTTTTAATCAGATTTTAACTAGATTTCTTACTTCTTCACTTCTCGTATCTGACTTCAGCTCTTCTAAAACTTTTGCTAGAATATCAGCTACAAGAAATGATAAATAAGAATACATTTGTCAAGAATGGGAACAGTTTCTGATGAAATGGCAACATTACTTTCATTCGAAATAAATAAACCATGAACAATTGTACAATGATTTTTCCCTAGGTATCATACTATCTGAAACTTTCGGGCCTGTTAATAAGCCATATCTCATTTCAAAGAGTATCTAGACCGAGCAAACTAAAAACCTAGAACAGTATATTAATTTCACCTTGACTTGTAGTTTTCAATATTATGAATTCCGACAGAATCCTAATTTTTGCATCATTCATGCGAGAGTACACAGACTGATCTGATTTCTTGACAGCTAACTTCTTATCTGACGAGTCTGCTTGTGGAATCTAGAGCAAAGGTAAGCAAGATAAAAACAGAAACAATAAAACGTGGGCAGTGACAACGCTTATTAACAGGAAACGATATTACATATATAGCTTTGCAAATTACAGTGTGTAGAACAGGTCTATGTTGCAACTCCAATTTTAGGCCTAAGGCAATCATCAGGCAGCTAAATGATGATGGCATCAATGTTATACCGTTGTTTGGATTAGACCTGAAATGGGTTGCTTATCAGAACCACACAGAACTCTCAAGAATATTTATCTCTGCGTCATTAGAAATTTCATAACCTAGCTATCGTCAGCAAAACTCTACAGTAAAAGACAAAATATTCAAAGTATAAATTTTGGTATGTATACTGCAATGGTAGTAGGAAAATATCGCTATAAGGCTGAACATATCAAGCTTTTAATGGAGGCTTAAGCACTCCATAATCGTAAAATCTTTTACACTATGCAAAAAGAAACGACCTATAAATTTCATGGTACATTGCAATAATTTTTTGCGAAAATGATTTACCCAGAAATTTGCCTGCGATCTAGTAAAGGTAAGTTCTACTCCCTATACCTGAGATTTAAATAACTTTTCACCAATTCTGCGGTATGCTGCCAATGGCACGCCAGACTGAAATCGAACATGTAAAATATATAAACAAACAAAGATACAGATAAAATTATAAATATAGATGCAGCATATAAAAAGGGATTTAGTGACATGCATCCGGCAAACCATATTTTCTCCTTTCAACATGGCATTATTTGTCTAAATTCTACACCAAAGTTGTATTCATTTGAAAGTTACAATTTAATCATTAAGTTCTTTTGTGGCTTACAATTATCAATACAGTGTCAAGTAGCAGCCCAAAAAACAGGTAACCAGTTGTTTTAATTCAAGTTGTTTAAATGTTTTAATAAAAGTAACAAACCAAAATATAGTTGCAGCCACATCAGCTGCAAAATATCAAATGTAACTGCAAAAATAAACGCAGATTTCTGTAAACAGGTCGGTTGAATAGTACTTTGAAGCTCTACTCCTGATGGCAACAGGCCCAAACGCTAAGCATACTTATACGTGTAGTTTGTTTACATATATAATATAAGTTTTTAAATAGAAACAAAGTAACGTACCTTTCTCTTTTGCGTGTATTCTGCAAGTAGCAATGACCAGAACACAAAATGAAGAAACGATAGCTTGGATGCTGAATTTGAAATGTGGTCTAAGAATGACGGTATCGGTTGGACGATCTGCAAATCAAATTGGCAAGCTCACTCGACATTGTTTAGTTCTAGTCAATGACAACTTTTCACGAAAGATTGTTGGTCAGTTAATGGTAAGGAGATGCGTATCATGTCTAAGTACAGAACTACAAGGTACAGAAGTACACCAAAAGGACAAAGGTAGCATAAAAACACGAATCATAAACTGTTTTTTGTCGTCTTTCTCAAGTAATTGCTAAGAAATCTTCAGGGTGCTCGATAGACAATTGCAAGTATATATATAAAGATTAAATTTGCATGTATATATATATAAAGATTAAAAATGGTCCAATATGGTCCTATATCCTTTCTGAAATAGAGACTTTTTCATTCAAGCAAACGTAGCCAGCTTAAAGATATAACTGTTGAAAGTCTTTTAAACTGACTGCAGTGATTTCAATATTGTAAAATAGGCCATATTCCTACTCCTCATCGATCATGCCATCACCACGATATCCCCTTACGTCATTCACGGCATCACATTCCATAGGACATCCCCTTCACCATTGTTTGCACGTTCACACATCTATGTCATGCTGACCTCATTTTCAAGCCTAGATCTCTCCTTCTCCGTTGCATCATCATTACATCATCCTAATTCATCCTTAGTCAGCAATTTGATATATGTATATAAGTATGTTAATTTGTATGTGAATTCAGTCCAGTTCAGTTCAGATCAGAGATATACAGCAATACACTTTCTCTCTCACTGGCTCCGTGTTCTCTGCACGTTAAGTAAGAATCGAAGCAAACAACAACGATGGAAAGTCACAAGAAACAATATAGGGACCATGGCAATTCTCGCAACATATTAGCGTACCTATATGAACTTTAATGTAAATGCGAAAAATCACTTGCCTTAAAAGCCTTTTCACTTGCAATTTCAATGGCAATATCATTTTCCGCAACTTCGTTAGTCTCGTTTGTAATCAATGTTTTAACGTGTTGCTTTAACTGTGATTCTGCAACCCAGTCCAAGCAGATGCCAAGAGTTTCTGATAACGAATCCAGCTCGACCTATAGAAGATTAAAGCTATATAACAATAACGGTCACGATATGTACAATCTGCTATGAAATTGCTATAACCTACTTAAATTTAATTGCAAATTTTGTTTTGGAAGGTCTAAAACAGTCAGCAACATCTAAAATATGGCTGCAATTTCCTATTTCCGTTTATGGTTACTTGTGATCATCAGGCCAGTTTTTTCAGGCCATGATGGTTAGATGGTGGTATATCAATGAAGCTAGAAAGAACAGTCTAAAAAAACGTATGCGATATGTTCTACCTGGTTTCAAGAAATAGAGATCTTGTCAATTGTTTGCTATCAAAGGTTATCCTTAGGCATTCATATAAAACGTGATAAATAGCATTGTAAATGGTCTTAAAAACGAACAAATCAAAAATGAAATTAAGAGAATGCTGAATAACTAATTTCGTACCTTTGTTTGCTTTAGCTTCTTCTCTATTGAAGTTTCCAACTTTTCGTCTTCAAAGAAACGAATAAATGAGTTTACATGAGAACAATTTTTAAAAATAGAATAACAGCGACAAGAAATTCAAAGATTTGCTAGTAGTTCTGCAAATAAAAGAAGCAGAGATAAACCGTAGGCGAGTTCATTTCAATTTACTTATTTATGAGAATGTTATAAACAGCAAACAGCGTAATTAATGAGTAAATAAAGTAGTCCTTCTTATTTGCACTTCTTGCAAAATACTGTCTGAAGATACGTTACTGATCGTTTTAACAAACTTGTCTTTGCAGCACAATTTTTTGGTCTGGAGAATCTTCAATTCATCAAACTTCTTAGTCATAAATAGAACGGTGTGTGCTGCATCAACAAGTGTGTATCACGAAATCTTTTGAAAATTTGTTGCACCATATTTCATTTTGCCGCTTAATTCACATTACAGCCAAAATATATTAGTCCGTTATAACTTGAATTATATCTGCTAAAACCATTCAGCCAATACCCCTTTAATCGAACAAGTCAAACACACTGTTACTCTTTAGAAGATGGATACAACTATACTCACAATCCTTACTATTTTGTTTTGTTAATTCCAACGTGCGGCTGTCATTGACTTCTTTTTTCAGTATTTCGTTCTTTCTCTAAAATAAAAAAAGGATCCAATTCATTTTTCCTTCTCAGTGGATAGCTAAAGTGTTACAGGTAAAAAATAGCATATCTGTCGAAAGTTTTCTGTAGCAAGTACTTGTATGATGCTCCGGAAGTATGTCTTCAAAAAAATTGTCACGTGGCTTGATGGGTTGTAAATCAACTGAAGTATAATTCTATAAGCAACATCTAACTGTCAATATTGTTTAACACTTTGAATAAATTTGTAGATGCCATAAATAAACAATTTACGCACTATGAAAATTTGGAAGAAACAAACAGTTCATTTAGTAAATGTTTAATTAATTGAGTGCTAAAAAACTAAGTTGCTAAGGTCAACATAATCCGACATTGTTTGCAATACCATGATGCTTATAAGATTTTAATCTAAAACATTATAATAAGTAAACTTGCGGTTCTTTCAAACTTCAGTTCACTTGAAATGAGAGCTTTTAATTTGTACTGAAATATTGGATCTTGGAAAATTATAGAGCAACAAGCAATTTATTGGAAAATTTGAGACACATACCTGAAGATTAGATATCCGGTTGTTAAAAGAAGACAGCTTTTCTTCCAGTTTACGATTATCCTCCTCAAGTTGTGAATTCTAAAGAAATTATATTAAGAAATACAAAATATAGTTGGCTTATACTGGACCAAAAAGTGTTGGACACAAACTAACTTATTCTTGCAATGGAGACAGGCTTATCTATATTATCAAAAAGTGCTTTGATTTTGCTTCCCAATGAGATGAAGCATTTGCAAACGATTCAAGTACTTTACTTTGCTACATTTTATCAATTTGCAACAGCAGCCAGTACACCGATTTTTAAGTATTTTTTCCTTTATGTTTTTGTTATACTGGATGTTGAGGTGTAATTTCGACCTACTTAGCCCATTCAAAAGGGGCGTCTCAGGTTTTAAAGATGAAACTGTTAGAAGATGCAAAAACCTGTCAGGTAAATAGTTATGGATTTAAACTAGAATAATCGTAAAAATTAGCACTTTACCTGTTTCTTTAGAGAATCATTTGCTTGTTTCATTATTTTGAATGAAAGTTTTGTTCTTTTAGATTCTTCTGTAGTCTCTAGCATTCTATCTTCAAAGGCCTAGCAAAATTGGAAAATAATAAGTGACAACTATTTTCGTGATTGTACTTGACGGAAGTATTCTTTTGAGGTTCTTGATTGGAATAAAATAAAACAATTTAATCCAAGAATAAGTGATCTGCTACAAGCAGAAGCAATCCAGGTACCAATAGAAAAAATATAAAAAAAGTCAAGGGCTTGCTAAAATTTACATAGTCTTTTACAAAGTACAAGAGACAGCTGCTTTCTGTGCTTACCTGAAACAGTACAATCATTAATAAGAAAATTGAAATTATGATGAAGCTCAGACTCAAAATGTGTTTTACAATCAGCATGTTCATAAAGCATTGGGCAGTGTGCATGCATACATAACAGGGCCCATGGCACAAATTTCAAGCTGGAGAAGCCAATTTCTATAAGTAGAACTTGAATTTAGTGCTTCAAAACAGGGTCTCTTTGGAAATATTATTATTTACTAAAAAAGTGGGGGGCCATGGCCCCTCTGGCCCCCTAGTGGCATGGGCCCTGCATAATTAACATTTTCATTGTTCTCTCTAGAAGAGAATCAACTCATTACATAAATAAATTGTCTGCCCAAATTTGCTTCTTTTACATATGACAAAAGAGGTCTAATAATGATTTGAAAAATCATCTTAATCTATCTTTTGTCTTTAAATGTTAAAAACTGCTAAAGAGGATCTTGGGTAGGAAAGAGCTACAAGCTTCATCATGGTGAACATTTATATTCCTTATCTCCATTAGTAAAACAATGATATCAAATTTTATTGTCACACCTTTTGAAATTCTTTGCATCGTTTTTCACTTTCATTGTCAATGAGTTGGTCAAGAGAATCTTCATATTGTTGAATTTTCCTTTTTAACAAATCTGTTTGTTTCTGCTCTTGTTGTAAATCTGCATCCCATTTCTTCAATCTCTCATTTTCAGCCTGCAGAAGATGATTTTAGATTGTAAGTGTGAATAAATCTGGCACAACATGAACACATAAAATTATGCAAAAAGCTGGTCACCATGTTCCTCTTGAGAATGATGAGCGAACAGGAACAATTTTCAAAATGTTTTAGGTGATGATAAACACTTTTTAGGGTAAAAAATATGAGAAATGTTGAATAAATAAGTAAGAGGATCTTTATATATTTATCTAACTATAGTCTGTCTGATGAGTGCGCAAGCACAAAACTTGGAGTTACAGAGGACATGTCTCTTTTCTAGCCTATTCTCTACAAAATCTATTGTTCTGTGCTTTTGCACATTGAGCACTTTTAAGTCAGAATAGACAACGCAATCTTGAATCTTTAAATATTTATATATTTGATATCTAGGTAGTGTTGGAAAATTGTGTTTAATATTTCGAATACAGAATAAGGAGACAATGATTTTAGTGATAATTTTCTTATCCAATATAATGAGAATTCTATACTTTGGGAAAGGTACCTGTAATCCTTTGCTGATGTCACATAATTCAAGATAAATCTTTTTCTGTCTTTTACCTGCTGCAACTTCAATTTTCTACAAATGCAAGAGGACCAAAATATTCATAACCTGCGAATCAAACTGTAATAACAAAAATGTCATATTTTTTAAATTATAATGAAAATAAAAAATTGTATGGCAAAAAACACATTCTGTGATTTGAAAATGACATGGAAGAGTGGAAACATGTCATACTAATGAACTTTTTGTCAGACATAAATGTCTGGTATTATCCAAAGGTTGGCAGAACATTTATACCCAGATGAAGATCCAAAGTAACTTGGAAAAGGCATGTTTGGTTGATTCTTTGTAATTTTCACAGCTGCGGATCATGCACCTAGTTGAAAAGTCCAACAGAGACTAAGAAACTCTTACTGTCTATACAATTTTGGATCCTTCGGGTAGAAAGATTTCAATACACCAAAATAAATTAAAAGACAACCTTGATTGCCCAATGATGTTGAAAGTGTTGTCATTATATGTTTTGGTGCTCTTTGGATTCGAACTAAATGCTGACATATAGCCAAACCACAATTAGATTTCTTTGCTCTTCTATGCTATTTTCAAGTTTTGTGGAAGCAAAGGCTATTTTGTAATTAAAAGGTTCACAAAAAGAATGGCTTCTTACCTTTGATGGCTTTTGTCCATAATCATGATTTGCTTTTCTATAATGGATTGACTTGGCTGATAGGCCTAAAAATTGTGTTTGAATATGACAGAAAGTGGTTGCCTGTTGCCTCTCTTAGTTTACCTAAATTTTTAAAATCATCGAAAATAACAAACAGCACAGGATTGCAATGAAAAAATATACGCAGCTCAGCTTTAAACAATAGGGAGTGCTGAGAGGTGATAGCTGTTATCGCTTATTTAAGTACAAAATGTGCATTAAATGTAACATTTTGACTTGACTTGTATTTTGACTTGAACAGATAATTGCAAGGTTTTTGGGGGCTAGTGATGATATTTAAAGCTGAAAAACAGTCAGGTTTCCTATTATTGTTTTTGTTGTTGACAAAAGCAGTTAAGTAATATGAAAATAATGGTACAAATGTAAAGTAAAGCATTGATTTGTAGCTCTGTGACATGTCTTTAAAGACTGTTGGCAGATTATCTTTTTTGAAACTTCAAAATCTCTTTTTAACAAACAAACCTGATAAATATGCGTCACTGATCTCATCATCATAGAGTTGGCTTTTAGTTTCTGATTCCGAATCTGATCTCGAAGTATGCATCCGAAGACTTTCTAGCTTAACAAGCTCGTGCATTTCTTTTAGGGCCCTCGAATAATGCCGTTTTTCTTTATTGGATAATATCTCTTCAACATCTGCTATAGGCCCATAGGCCTCCTCTTCTCTATAGGTCCAGCGTTGATTGCTCATTTCACTTGCTGTCCAGACTTGAAATTGATCAAGGATCAAACGCCTAGGGCTTAAATCTTTTTCAAGCTGTAACTGATAGTATTAACAAGTAGAAGTATCGGTTTGCATGCAATCGAGCGTTGGTCACCAAGATTGCAGCCACCATATTTGTTGTAAACAATGTTGGTCCTTAGTTATATTTGGCGCCCAGGAGAAGCAGTGCATTGTGGGGGATGGGTAATCATTGATTTCCTATAGGTTATGTACAAATTTGAAATCAATCACAAAACAAAGATAAATAAAAATACAAACTGTTAATGAAAAGAAATAAAGCATTTACATAAAGCTAAAAAATAAACAAAAATATTTCAAAAACAATTTTTCGTGGCACAAAATAAAAAATTGCTTGAAAAGGCAAACATTTGAACACCCTCTTCAGAGTATAAAACAATAGAATAATGATCAAAAAATCTAAGCTAGGCATGTATCCGGTCTAGAACTAGGACAGATGCAGATACAAAAACAGATACGAACAAGAGATAATTCATTTTCCGAACCATGTAATTAAGGCTTACTAGCTAATCTTCAGGAACCTCTCCAGAGGTCTAGAGAATTGATAAAAAATAAAATTGACCAGTAACTACTTAGCTACTGTAAAATTTAGGCATTCACTTTTTATAATCTATATATCTTAGTTATGACACGCTTTTGTTATTAATTGATACTAGCATGTAACTTTGCATCTCTCTCAAAAGTATATATAATCATTAAAAAATGAAAATTACTGTTTACCAGTCTGTCTTAAAGTGCTTGATACCATATAATCTGAGCTGAAACAGTTGCCGGAGTAGCAACTTTGAACCGTCCTATTCTATACACCAAAAAGTCCTTATCCATTACATATATTAATATATATATATAACATAATTGAGAACAAGCAATGATTTCCAAAATGTTTTGGAAAAACAAAGCTGCAGGGAGTGAAGATCAAGACTAATAATAATGATAATAATAATAACAATAAATTTATTTGAAGTTGGCGCTACATAGCTATTTATAGTTAAATATATACAAAAGCTAATCCAAGCCTAGTTCACTACCTCTAGTTTCCTGACCACGCCCATTTTAAACCCCTTAAAATCAGGTAGGTTTCACGATAAGATATTCTTGGCGGGAGGAAGGTTGACAACTTTTCTTGACTCTTCTATTTAGACCAGGGCTGCAGCAGAGAGTGGCTCAAAGGGGCTCAGCCCCCTTCTTTTTTTCGCATTGTTTCTGCATAATTCTAAAGTCTAAATAACAAATTTCTGTCAGAATCAAGTCTTTGATTAAACCGATATTACTTTTTGACATTGGCATTAATGTGTGACCTCAATAGCCCTCTTGATAACTGGAAACTTGATAAATGCTGGCAAAATTTTACTACTCTAACTTTTTCATTTTTAAGATTTTTCTACTCATAGACATAAAGGTGAAGAAATTGATATTGAGGAACCATGCAAACGAAAACAACTGAAACGTTCATTTTGTATACAATATAAAGGATGCTATATGGCCTACATTTTTGACTCTACACTACTGACTTAGGCCCATGCCTGGGTTAAGTATCAAGCCAGGTGTCTGTATCATTTGCAAACGACCGAAGTTTTGAAATTGGCATAAAAGGAATTGATGCTCTTGAGAACGAATCAGGAAATTGCTTATTTCTCACCTGCAATCAGTGGCGGTGCCAGGGGGTGGTATGGGGGGGGTAATTACCCCCCCCCACTTTTTTCGAAACATGGTCTACATATTTCGTTTAAAACGGGTTAAAAAGCACTAGGTAGGGGTAGATCATATTTCCTAAGGAAATTTGACCTGGTACAATGCACTGAAATGAGGCGATTAGGGCGTGGTCTCACTGGCTACGCCCATTACCCTCCCACTCGGCAGTAGCTGGCGCCGCCACTGCCTGCAATTTTGCCTTGAAAAGATTTTATCTAAAAGAATAACAAAGAAAATCTTTATAGGAAATTCGTTTCTATCGAATTCTATTTTCCAAGACTGCATTGGGACAAATAAATGAATAAGTTAGAGCACTGGCCGCAGGAAAAGCAGAAACACGTAACAGGATTTCTCGTGCGGCAATCTTCAGAGAGTCACTAAAAGCACATTAAATCAATTAAAGACTTGCATTAGCTGGTATAAGAACATCTGCCAGTGACCTCTCAGCTCTTTTGGAGAGGCAGACGTAAGTAAGGTAGATGCCAGAAATATAATCTTGTGGAATAATCCATCTGTCGTCTTACATTTGTATTGGAAGGAAGGTTTACAGCTGTATTTAAAGAAAATCTCAAAAAGGTAGCTACAGCTTTAATTTGAAGCAGTTCTCAGAAAGGTATCTAGAGTTTTATTCGAAGGAATTCCAGGAGAGGCATCTGCAATTGTGTTTGCCAATCTCAGAAAGTTGTGTAAAGTTGTATCTGAAGAAATTCCCGGAGAGGCATCTGCAGTCAGGTTACATTGAAAACGTATAGCACTTGAATTTTTAGCTTGAGGACAGATTTTTACCAGGCAACGATTTCAAAAATATCTAAATTGTACAAAGATTATTAGATGAAAATGACATTGACGATTGCAGAAAAAGAGACTTACTTTCAGAAACTGTCAAAAGCTGATTTCGTTCTAGCACTGGTTGGAAATTTGATGATAATGCTCGTCAACATAGCACTAAACTTATGAAGTGCTATTTTGAAACGCAAATTTTTGCGAAAGATCACCTACCATTTTATTTTGAGTCTTTCTGTATCCGACCTTTGCATTGGAATATTTGTACATGGCATGATTACAGCAATTTTGACTTGTGTCCTAGCTGGAAATGTTGCTGGAATCTACCAACTTCTTTTATTTCATCAGGCGATCTGTGTTTGTTTTGGACAGTCTTCAGGATTAATGCTTTTGATGGTAGCTTTCGAGCAATACCTTCATATGAAGCATTTAAATTTTTACAACGCTCACATGATAAAGAGAAAATCGTCTTTTTTAATACTGGGCAGCGCCATTATCAGTCTTGCAGCAGGATTCATATTCATGTTTGGTTCTTTTGGAAGCGCTATCTTTCACATTCTTATTGGTTTCACATTGACGTATCATATCTTGCAATTATACTTTATATCAAGATATTCTTAGACTTCCGAAGTCGTAATGAAAACACACGCCTTTCCAATTGCCATAACTCTGAAGTTAAGTTGTTCAAGGGGATATTCGCTATAATGTTGTCCTTTCTCGTCTGCTACTTACCGTTTCTCTCTTTTAACGCCTACTTTTATCAGAAGCATGAATCTGGTGATACTACAGAGGATCTCAGCACCAGATTATTCTTAGCAAATATATTGCTGTTTGAAATGATGTTAACAGAATCATCAATAATCTCGATTATACTGTTCTCGTGCAACGGGAAATTGAAGAGATATTTCTTGTCATTATTTTGGAAAAATTCGGTGGCTATAGATGTGCAAGCCATTCACAGATATAATAAACTGAAGAACACACAATTCATCTTCTGGAAAGGCCCTACTCGTATCAACACTCGATGTTACGGCAAAGTGATACCAAGTGCAAATCCGAAGTAACCTATTTTAATCAGCGGTATAAAATATGATCTTTTTAGCAGTACACTGTATTGTATCTTCGATCCAACGATAAAATCTGCAAAAACTAAGGGCACTATTCTTTGAACCTTACAACGGAGTTTCCAACAATGCAAATTATGCTACTTATAAATCACACTACCGGTAAAAGCTTGTTATTTCCTTTTGTGAAAAAATTGAAACAAACATTGTATATCGTTGATTGTTATTTGGGTAGAATCATGTGTATTTCTAGAAAAATATTATGACTATGATAAGAAATAAACGAGTTAAAATATTAGCCATTAATAGGACTACTTTTTCTAAGTAGAAACATACATAAGCATGGAACTCTGAAAACATACATAATCTCCTTAAACTTTGAAAACGCATATTTCTGTCTTTATTCTTTTTAATGTCTATGCATTTTCTTATCTAAAATGTTTCAATGATATTATATAGCTGTGAAATATATATGAAATGCAATATGAAATTCATTCATTTTCCCGTTATCGAGATTAAGATTACTTGGTCAAAAATTTAGGGGATTTGAACTTTCTTTCTACCATCTTACTGTATAGAGTTCTTAAGTGTGACGTCACAAAAAACTCTTTTTAGAATTTTCGAATTTTGACCACATTCACATAACATAAAAGAACACCATAAAATACTCCCATATATGCAAAATCAGTTAAATTTGTCAAAAATTGGGTAAGCTATGGCCAATCGAAGATTTGAAATTTGCTAACGGATTACTGTTATTTTGGCTCAGTTCATAAAGTTATGAACTGAGACCAAATTACAGCGGTTTGACGGGGCCAGAGCTTGTGCTCATCTGGTCATATCTCAGCCAATTCAGAATACCTTTAACTGATTTTGCAGATTTAGAGGTATTTCATGATGCTCTTTCAAGTTATGGGAAAAAATTTCAAAAATTATAAAAATAGATTTTTGTGACGTCTTCACTTAGCAACTCTATTGTAAAGGATAAAATTTCCAAAGAAGAATACAATCAGTTGGCTTAATCTATAGCTCCGCACTTACAGAAATAGCATTTTTGCCAATTCCGATACTTGATATCAAACGTATGCAAACTCAAAAATTTCAAACATTTAGTCTTCTAAAAACATTTAACGCGATTAATGATGGCCAACATACTTGTCTCTAGACGAGAAAAGTTTACCAGAGAGCTTCGATCAAGCAGAGCCAAAACACTAATTATACCAAAAGAAACCGGAACCTTCCAGGATAATGCAGCAAGACTCTTCAATTCTTTGCCAGAAAATATAAGGAACTGCAGTGTATATAGTAAATTTGTATCATCGTCAAAGACCTTTTAAAGAATAAAATCGCAACGTTTTTAATAAATAAAATAAATCGTTTTTAATTGCACAATGCATTAAGGTTAGAAAATTGTTTCTTCCCTTTATTTTAACGTACTACTAGAAACTTTTTTAACATCTTTCAGGACAATATTTCTTAAACTAAAGGGTTATATGGCCTTATAACGGCAAGACAGCACGATTTTCACAATTTTAAAAGATGCCCAATCAAATTAAATTATTAAAGTTCATATTTGCTTAGCAAAGAAAATTTATAAAAAGGGCACAAGATCAAACAATTAATTTTCAAATATTATCAAACTTACGAAAATATTACAATTTCGTTAAATTATTGAATTTACTCAAGCAACTTGTAAAACTGCGTAGCACTAAAGGAGAAGCCGGCCACTAAACTTGTCGGCGACGGTTAATTTTATTACTACAGAGCATTTCATTTTAATAAGGCTGGAAAATGTGGGGGGAGGGGGGGGATACCTTGACATTTTTAAAGGTACAGGGACATGCCATTATTAAGGGGTACCTTTTTTCTGAAAAGTGTGAAATTATCGGTATCACTTTTTGAAATATGTGCGGAACTATGTGTACCATTTGAAGAAGCATGCAGAATTATGGGTACCATTTTGGGAAAATATTGCAAAATTATTACGAGGGACATTTAGCATTAACATAATGAATGACCAGTTAGAAATAAAACTATGAAATATGTGTAATATTGAGATTTGGGGCAAAGCTCATGCAAAATTCGTTTAATGATTTTTATGTGCTTTAAAGTGTTATTTGCTTTGCGGGATTATGGGCATAGTTTTAATCATGTTTGCGAAATTATGGGTCACATCTTTTCAGACATTTGAGGATTTATGGGTCCAAATTTTTAACAAAAATTGGCACGTCCTCGTTAGTTTACTCCCCGAGTTAATGACAAAAGGTTTTTAAAAGTCTTGAAAATTTTTCCATAAAATTTAATTGAAAATTTGAAGTTGTCCCAATACTTTTTCTTAGAAGCGTATTGCCATCTTCTTTTTACCTTGTTTCCGATGTCTGAAACGAGGTTGATCTAGCTGTTTCTAGGGAATGAAAACAAGTCATGATAAAGTCAAGAAAGTTTGATTGTATGCGTGTATAGAGGCTTTTTACGGCAGTTGTCAATTCATGAATAATCTATGACTTTCAAGAGATTATGAACCGACCAGAAACTGGCAAATGGGTATCTCAAGTCATTGCTGTCTAATTGTCAAGATATTCCCAGCAACGAAACTCCGTAATTCATATCATCAACCCGACTCGAGAAGAATTGTCAAGGTTTGTGCAGGATAATGTGCAAAATAAGACAGATAAATATACAAAAGTTGCTTGATTTGCGAATCAAGAGTCTGTCGAGATCATGTAAGTTTTTGAGTGGCATTTAGTAGTTTTCCAATGAAGTAACCGAGTCTAATCAACTAAACATTTAATCCACAGATTTTGCCTGCGAATTGTAAGAGGTAGTATGAACTACAGAGGCGTAAAATTTAAAGAAAAGTTCATTCAAAATGTCCTCAACTAACGATATTAATTGAAAAAGCTTGAAATTTATCATGAACCTTTATATGTACAAATTAACTGATTTAACTCTAGTAACTTGATTTTGGCTTGCTTGCCCAAAGCAAAAAACTTTCCCAAACTGCAAAGTACACCCAAGATGGAATTTGGGGTTCTAATTGCAAGCAGTTTTCATTGCACAAAACGTTCATTTATGGCAACCCATGGATTTTTACAAGCATGCACTTCAGGTGCACACTGATTATCATGCTCAAGATCTTTTTGAAACCGACCCTACTCTGCACTTTGGCAAGTTCTTTATGTAAAGGAACGAATTGTTCTAAATTACCATTAGTATATCATTTCAAACACCTAACATTCTGTTATTCTATCCGTTTCCTTTTTCTGTATGATCTTTAGCTTCAGGCAGCCCTTCTACTTACCCAGGGTAGAACAAAAGTGGGTTAAAAAGTATCCGTTTTAAAGTGAGTCAATGGAAACATCAGTTTGCTTTAAGCTTGTTTTAATCCATTTTTGATCATTTCCACTAAGCTGGGTTAAAATGTACCCAGGCTTAAGATATGTCTTTAGCTCTCTACACTTCAGGTAAATCAGATTTAAATATTATAAACAGAAACCAAAGCACGCATAGCTGTGAGAGAAATCAGAATTTACAACAATAGTCCTTGTTTTTCTTTTGTATAATGCTGTTGTTGTTTTAAGTGGATCAAAAGTTACCCAGGTTTGTCGTTCCCACTAGCCCACAGGTGGGTTGAAAGATACCTGGGTGAAAAATGATCCACTCAGAGACCCGTTCTTAAACTTATCTGTTTTTCAAGTGGGTTAGTGGAAGCGCAACGCAAAAATGGATAAATTTTAACCCATTTTTGTTTTAAGCTGGGTTAGTGGAAAGGCTGCCTCAGTTCGATAATGTTTTGTTTCAAAGTTTTGGCTCAGTGCTTGATTGATTTTGGGCACAACACTTTGGCACATCACAGAAGAAAAGGGGCCAAAAAGATATGGCATAGCATATTCATCTCACTGCGAAAGCTCATTAATTTGTCACTATCTACCTGGTCATCATTATATAGTGATTCTCAGCATTTTTCAATGGGAACAACAATTGCACATTTTCAAAAACGCTATACCTGATTTAGCATAGTGATTTAGGAAGAACTAGGCTATGGCCCACAATATACTTTAGGAAAAATTTGCAGTCATTACAGAGTCACCATGATTCATAGCATAGGAACAAATTCCTCTCTTTTTAAATGAAAATGCCCCTTTTCACTGCAAAAAGTAAAATTTGATGGTAAAAGAAGTACCACATTTGTCAGATATAGTGTCCTTTTGTCGAAGATGACATGTTTTGTTCCAAAATGGGGCCTATTTCTGCTCAAAAATTTTAGAGCAAAGAAAGTTCAAGATAAAAGAGGTACTGACAGCACGTTAAAACAGATTGCTTCCCATTGGGTACTTTGTTATAAAGGAAGTATACTGGAATTATTTTGTAACGGAGACGGGGGAAGCTGCTACTCTGCTACTCTAGTTTAAGATTATCCTCTTTATATTTTGAATTTAAAATTGTTTTTTTGTTTTAAATTTTGCTTCATTGCGCATTACATGTTAGCAGATAAGTACATGGACCTTTGGCCCACCATAGAAAAATAACAAAATCATGTCATTTAATGATATTCCTACCAGTTAGAAATCATGAAAGAATTCCTTTACAGAAAAAATCACTATTAAGTCCAACTGATCAGAAATTCTTGTGACCGTGACCTTGTAAACAAGCTGCAATTACTACTGATAAAGACCACTTTAAAAAGACCATAATAAGCATTATTGAATAAATTTAAATATAACCACAATGAATTGGCAGGCATGCAGTGCCCCATACTTGCATACCCACCTTAGATTTTAATGTACTCAAAATTGAATAGTAAGATCATGTAGATTTTAGATTGTAAACATTGATAAATGGCTCCTCCCTATTAAAGTAAACCTTGCTGTGAGTGTTCATCTGAAAAGATAACTACAACCTTTTGTTAATACCCAGTTTCATTAAAAGTAACTAGGTTGGAGAATCATGTTTTATTGATCACCTAGTAGTTGTACAATTCCAGCAGGTGCCTGAAAACTCCAATGCTTTGTTAATTATAGTCTCAATCTGACCTGTTTATGCGAGAACAAGCCATTGATCCTATTCTGGTAGTTGTTTGCAACTAAGAAAATTGCCTGTGAATATAATGTTGAATGTAATTTGATGATTATTTGAACCTTTTTGTAGGTTGAATATCCAGTCAAAAGATGGAAAGTTTGATATTGTTCTTTCAGATGGTAAGAAATGCCAGAAGCACTGCAAATTTGATTTTTTACTTTATCAGAATAATTTTTCAGTGCCTACACAAATTAGTAACATTGTTGTGGAGGGTGGCTGAAGACAAGATTTTCCCATCTATTTTGATCAAGTAGCAAAATTAGCACTTTAGGGGAAGAGATATCCCTCTTTGCCCCTAAGCAACTGTGCCCCTGCTAATATCATCAAATATTATAAATTTGCTTTCAAGTTGCATTTGATACCTGTTGCATTTCAATACCTCAAATTTATGTTGTAGATTTTATGTAAAATGTTTGGTAAAGATAGTTATATTACTAACCTTCTTGTTTGTTGCTTGGAATATGACTTTCCTGGCAAGTTGATTTTCTTGTACTTTAATGTATTGCCTCTTTGGTGTAAACTTATTTCTGACTCCCAGGGCCCTAGCTTTGAGAGAAAGGGGTATTACATTTTAAGATGAGGAGTTTTTTGCCACCGAGGGGTGCTTTGTTGGCAAATTTTCAATCTTGTTGGTAAATAAAGGCAGGCTTGCCCTGATTGTCAGCAAATTGGTTTTGGATACTCCTCTTGAGTAAAACAGTAAGCAGCAGTCCTTTTTGTACTATATCAAAGATGAATATTAAGTTGTAGAAAAAGACTTTGAAATTATTTCATTTGACTTATTTTAATGCCAAGAGTCTGAAAATTTCAAAAGTAAGTTTTTTGCAATTTTTACATTTCTTTAAGCTTTTTAAAAACTCTTTTTCAATTTCCTTCAATATATTTCTTTCAGCTACTTTAAAAGGTGTTGGCAATGTCAAAAAGGTGATTTTTGAAGTTACACAAAATTGAATCTATATTGGATCTTGTTATTTTCAAACTGGCGTATTTAGCACGATTTATGTCATGTATGAACCACATAGAAGATAGTTCCTTTCTACTAAATATTTAAATCTCCAAGCTTTTTGCTTATTTGAATATGTTTTATTGGATGCTTCCACCACCTGGAAGGTCCTCTGTCAAACTCTGTTCTGTTTCAATTTAACCCATTTAATTTTATTTGATGTAAATAGGCCAGTTAATTTAAATGAAAATTTTTTATATTGAATAAAAATTATTTAGTTATAAAAATAAAAACAAGGGTGACGTTGCAATTTGAATAACATCGATTAAATTTGAATTTTAGAACAACTTAAACAGAATTTTGGAATAACTGGAATACATCAATGTACTAGAGTCTTTGTGTCATCCTAATTGCGTTTGCTTTTTTTTAAAATGGGGTTTTTAGCAGAATGTTAAGATAATTTGTTAATGAACCAAACTGTAGACGACGAAAACGAACCAAACTGTAGACGACGAAAACGAACCAAACTATATTCGTCTTTTAAAACACATTTGACTGTAAGCTTGCAAGGTAAGATTAGCTGCAATTAATATTGAAATTGTACCACAATTTTGTTGCTCGAATGATTAATATAAGAAGCTTTAGTATTTTTAGATTTTTCAGTATTCGACAGAGAAGATAGACGACATTTTTTGACACAATTTACTTGCTCTTTAGACAAATATACGATCGCTAAGCAGTGCTGGTAGGCGCAAGACCAAAGAGATTAAGGGTAACCATGTGCTACCTAGCCATAAGGATGAATCGCCAAGACAGCTAGCAAAACACAAAGAAACTCTGTCACAAAGTCATGTAAAAGTAAATACAGAAACGCATGCTGATCCCAAAGATGCTAAAAAGAAAACAGGCAAGCCAGAAAGACCAACAGAAAGAATTGTTCAGGAAAAACAGCCAAAATCCATCAATACAAGGAATACAAACACAAAAGCTAGTGACAAAGACAGCGTCGGTGCAAAGCGTGTGACAAAAGGCAAAACATCTAGCTACACGCAGCCAAGTAAAGCTGCTGTCATTTCAGACAAGCCTGGGGTTATTTCTCAGTCTGAACTGATGTCATTGATGGAATCTTTAAAGACTGGAGATGTATCAATTCTTGAGGTGATGACAAAGGTTAAAGGAAATCAAGGGTTTGCTGATGTATCAAAATTTAATGATAAAGCGTCACTGTCGACATTAAAGAAAGACAACATCTCTGATGATGTCATAGAGCCAACATATGTCCCAGGTTTGTTCAGCTTTTACGTCCTGGAAAGGAATTCGAATTATCTTTGTCATTCATTCTATACCTACAGCCTTTATGAAATTGTACCTTCATTTTTCAATCGCTTGTTGTGTCTTTGCATCCTACTCATCTGTGTTACTCTCTATCACCTCTTTGCTTAAAGCGAAACCTGGTTTGCCGACGGTCCTACATTCTTATCATTACATGTGATTCTGTGCCCTCTCCACTCTCGATTGTGACCTCCTCATATCTTTATCCACAACATCCTTTCGTCATTTAAATCTCAATCTCCCAAGTGGTAGTCTCTTTGCTGCTTTTACTGGATTTTCCTCTCTTTTTATATATATGGTATTACCATCTCAACCCAACTTCCCCAATCTTTTCAACAGATATTTGCAACTTTTGATTCAGCGCGAATCTTCTCATTGCTTTGCCATTCTCTTAATCGAATTCCCAGAAGCAATGTCAACATCCTTTTCTAGTTTGATCTTAGAGCTATCGCCATCTCCCATACCTTTTACTGGTATCGTCAATGCACTTAAAACTTTTACCTTCAGTTGCTAAGGTTTTCTTACTTACTCAAATCAATTAAATCCAGATTTTCCCATCTCTCCGATGTCTTTTCTTCTTGGTTACAATCCATCCCAAGTCTGTGCTATCTCGATTTATTTGAATCTTCCGATGAATGTATTTATCTCTGTTTTTCTTGTTCTCGGTCAGCTTTAACCAGTACATGGTTAATATTCACATCAAGACGCTCTGTTGCCCCACTAAATATTTTCGGAAGGTGCTTTTTATTTTTAACATTCTTCAAGAGATATTCTTTAGATATTTCTCTATAACAAGACTGTTCAGCTCCCAGAATTCAATTAGCGATAGGCTTTAAAATATGTCGCTTATAAGCATCTTAAGTATCTGTGGATTGCCTTGTATTTTGGGTTATAAAGTTTTTTGGTAGGGTGTATATGTAAACCTCAAGTTTTCATCACCTTGATACCATAAATCACCGCTTTAGGTAATATCTTTAAGCCAATTCAAAGCTGAGAATCTTGACAGAAATTTTTGGACATTTAAAAGTGTGCAAAACCTGCTGAATATGCATAATCAAAAATTTCGTTGAGATTTACTTCTTTTCATTTCTGTGTACATTAGTACTATATTCTGTTGTACTTTTTACGTTCCAGGTCTCAATTTGGACTTTGAAAATGAAGACCACAATTCTACGTAATTTGATTTTTCAAATTTAACCTATGGGTGGTCTTTTTTGCTAGTCATGTAAATGTCATTTTCTTTAAAAATTGTTCAAACATTTCGCTATAATTTTTTATGGTGTATTAGAAATTATTTTAAAGCATTATTTTTAAGACGAACAGAACACTTAGTTAATATCTGTATAGCTGGCAGATCGCTCGATTGCCAACAAATCTCTCATCAGACCTCAACGTGAAATAACATATGAATCAGCAAACAGAAAGAAGGATTCTATAGAGCTCTATTGTTGCTCTCTTAAAAAATGTAGCTATGAACAATGAATCCAGAGGTATATATTACCAAGACATAAGCAACACATGCAGATTACGAGATCACACTGCAAATTTACAATGGGCTGAGCTGTGTTACTCTACAGCCGTAATAAATTCTCAACTACATTACAATTTGGTTCCATTTCCGCGCAGTTTTGAAATTTTGCAGCATTTTATATTTATTTGAAATCATCTTTCTAATCGATCGATATCTTTTTTGATATCTTTCTTTCACATATAGTTTTATAACTTCGCTATTTGAATAGTTGATATAATTAATTGTCTACCAAACTTTTTATTACTTTTTTAAAGTTTGCGGAACCCCAAGGACAATTACAGTTTTGAAGGTAAGTACCAGTTAAGTTTCTGTTTTGTTTTAAATTCCACAGCATAAAAATTACGTTCCAATATTAACTATAACAAACAGTTTAACTACAAGCATATTATAATGAACAGAATTTAATACAATGAAGTATAAATTGATACAATATGTTTACAAATTAGCAAAATAGAATGAATTAAACCGCTTTGATGTGGAGTGTATACAGTATTGTATAGTCAAAGTATTTTTCGCAGAAATGTCGCAGACATATCGCAGAAATATCGCAGAAATATAGCAGAAATATCGCAGAAATGATTTGAAAAATCACTTTCATGATTTGGTGAACTTAAGTGTTTCCAAGATTCTTTATACTTTTGAAACTAGATAACAACTCATTATCACATAAAACTGTTGAAACCAATTATGTGAAGTATAACATACTGGATGCAAGTCATGACACACATATAGCTTGGAACATCAGTAATTCAAGCTTTTCTCGCTCTGTTTTTCATCACCATAAAATGCTTTATGTAGATCGTATAGAGGCATTACGTTATGCTTGATATTAGGCTTTATTTACGCAATGCTTTCTTCTTCCAGGTCCCAATATAAAAGACTCATATGCAACATCAAAAGTTAGTTTTCTTTGAATTTAAATAATCGTAAAATTAGTATTATTATGAATTCTTGACCTCCTTTTAACAACATTCTTTTAAGAAGGCAACACAGATTTACTGCTTGGCCCCAATTTAAATCTTCTTACGTTATTTTTCCAATAAACTTTTATCCCGTAAACTAATGCTTTTGTCCAAATATTTTTTAATCGAATGTTGTCAGAACCAATCATCGCGTCTTTTCCCTGTTACGTCACTTTCGATCCAGGCCTGGATATAAATTTTCTGCTCACTTTCGGCCACTATCCGACGTTTTTACTCTGAAGTGTGTCAGGTGAAAATACTTCAGTCTGCTATGTTTCAGCCTCTTGTTGCATCTCCGAATGTTCTTGTGTAGGGCATTGTTGAAAAAATTATGCTAGCATTCGTTAATTTTCAATGGTTTTTGAAGAATATGAATTTTAGCAAAACTCTTAGCATTCGATGTTCTTGCATTATTTATTTCATGCTGTGAATCGTACCTTATAAAGGGTTACCCTGTCTATTCTCGCAGTGAGACTTCAATTGCTGGCCGATGGTTTCTGACAATAAAGTTCTTGAAATTTTTTGCTTAACCTTATTGCGAATAGTTTTCGTTATTAATGACAGGGAGATTAAGCGACAAAAAAGTTGCTTTTTTCAAAAAATTGTCTCCAAAACAAGAAGAATTGCCACAAAAATAATTCTGCGGGAAAAATGCAAAAAAGAAACTGTTGCCTTTCTTTGTTATGCCAAATAAATACATATTATGACTGAATACTCAATTACTATTTTGTTGATTAGGAACCAAACAATTATGCCAGTAGACGTAAACTGCACAGTGAAGATAGTGTTTCTACTATCAGCCTGAATGAAATACCAAGGAATGGGAAAATACCCAACGAGGATCTTGACAAGGCTGCAACAAATATGACGGCTCGCGGGAAAATGGACCGTCATGCAATGCGAAGCTCTTTTGTAGTTGGGGTAAGCTTCAAAATGTTTTTTGAAATCCTGTTGCATCGTTAAGAAACTTCAATATTTGCTGATCGAAACAACAGTTTTGCAGATACAAAGTATCATCGATTAATACTCTCAAGTCTTTGATTTGCAGTCTATGCAGTCTAAGTCTTTGAAATTTCAGCAGAGCCATGTGATTTATTTTCTTTTCACTCCTAGGCTCCTGGGCAAGTTGCATTTGACTACGGTCAATCAGACAGAGAAAAGAACAAGCAATGGCTTGCAGACCTAGGTACAAATCTTTTGCTTCAAAAGTATTGATTTAATTTTTTAATTGAGAGCAGAATTCACCCACTAGAGAAAGCTATATTTATGTTAATCTATATATCGGGATTCTGTTTTTCAATATTAACTTAGCTTCGTTCCAGCTGCATGACCCTAAGAATAAAATTTTCAAGCTTCAATGTCAATTATATTGAGATACGCATCTAGCTTTGAGGCTTTCTATATACATTCATTTAATCGTCATTTTGCAGAGAAGCAAATGCAGGAGAAGAAAAAGGCCACGATTTCGGAGAAAGAAAGACTTGCAATGGCAATGGAAACTGTAAGTCGGTTTTTTAGGATAGAAAAGTGTTCTCTCTCTCTCCTCTCTCTCTCTCTCTCTCTCTCTCTCCTCTCTCTCTCTCTTTCTCTCTCTCTCTCTCTCTCTCTCTCTCTCTCTCTACTCCTCTCTCTCTCTCTGTCTCTCTCTCTATTGAGAGACTTGTAGCAAGTCCAGTTACTGATCTTCAATGTTATCAAAAGAACTTGGAAATTGAAGTTCCCATTGCGCTGTTAGAATTTCCTTGTCAAAAACTAGACACTTTGAATTTCAACAAACGAATTCAAGCCATCAATCCCCTACTTTATTTGTACTTTAGTATCACTTAGTCTCCTTTCGGTGCTTTTAATGTTAACCAATCATCATCCGATAAAAGTCTCACCAACTGTTGCTTGAGAGAGTGTGGCTGTAAACGGAGCTAAGCTGAAGAGTTTTGCATAATTAGTCTACATCTTATGTGACTGTAACCAGCAGTGTGACTATAAGCTGAGTGGGTATTGCTTCTTTTTTTTACATTAAATGATTAACTTTTGTGAGAAAAAGAACAACTGTTTAAAATTTCATATATTGGTGCATTCTTAACCTCCCAGCCTTTAGCTGTAAAATTGACAAGTCGCCACGAAAAAGTTACAGCAGAGCCGGAATCTGCATATGAACCCGATGTACCACCGTTCAAAGCGAAAAGTCCTTTGGCAGAGAAGCAGGCAGATAATTCTAGTCATGGATTCATAGGTGACAGTCCGTGAGTTGCCTTCATAATTTTTTTTGCTATGCATGTTCTTATTATTAAGAACGCTCCATAAGATGGGCCAATAGAATAGACGCCTAGAGGAGCCTACCAACATTTGCGTGTTTTCAAAGTAGGTAGTTCTGTAGTCTAAAAGATCTGTAAAACTTCTTCTATAGCGTTTTATTTGGATAAAGAATTACGGTTAATCGATTTCTGGTTCAAGTTTTTAAAATGTGAACATATCCAATTTATGTTTCGATACCATTTAGCGAAACTATCGGAACTATTTTACAGTTGTGGACTTGATAGGACCAGGGCTGGAGGCCCTCTTTCTCTCTGATTGATTAGATTGGTTAAGTTTAGAATATAATTAATGTGGGACATGTTCCATTAAAAGAGTAGGCAATATAATTTACGATCAAAGAATCTGCCAATGTTCTCTCAAACCATAGTCATTTCACTTAGCCTCGTTCCAGCTGCATGACCCTGAGAGTAAAATTTTCAAGCTTTAATGTCAACCATATTGAGATACGCATCTAGCTTTGAGGCTTTCCATATACATACCTATAATCGTCATTTTGCAGAGAAGCAAATGCAAGAGAAGAAGATAGTCCTCCCTTCTATTGGCTATGCTCAACTTAACACTATTATATATGGAAATGATAGGATAGTCTTTCGTGGCACCATCTTATGGAACTACCTCTAGAATGATATTAAAATCTTAACCTCCGCCTGCTCTTTTAAGAAACGTATAAAAATATGGAGCGGAGAGGACTGCGTAAAAATTAAAAGCATTTATTCCAGATATACTATTCTTTTTCTTCTTTTTTATCAATTCCTTAGTATTTTATTATTCATTGTAAATAGTTGGCCTGAATTAGTTTTATTTATAGCAACAAGTAAGAACCAACTCTAAAGAATTTCATATTAAAATACGATAAATAATAAAAAAAATGAAGGATCTTTGAATGCAAGTGGAAGTGTTGGCAAGAGGAAGTGCGATTGAATTCCAACATTCCTTGCCTGTCCGGCACTGATTAGGACCATAGAAGACACTATGGATACTGTTAGCTTTATTACCCTCAAACATCAGAAAATATTTGAAATAACATTTTTATTTCAATTGATCAAGGGTAAAGTGTGAAGCAGAATTTCTTCTCTCGTGATTTGTAATGAAACAAGACGTAAAAGAAAGCTGATGTTGGCAAGAAATAGTGCCTATTTACATTACAATGAAATTATTTTAAAGAATCGATTGGCACCGAGACATTTTCAAATTTACTAGAAGATAAAGCTTTGTTTACGAAGGGCCACAGATGTAAATTTCCTCAAGGCTTCTCTTGTTTTAAACTGGAAAACATAACTTCATTGGTCGATACCAGTTTCAATAAATAGAGAAAGTAAACGTTGTAAGAAGGTTTCTTCGTTTTCACATTGCTAAAATAATTATCTTAATCGGACCAGATTTTGCCATAACCAAGCATCCAGTCCCAAGTTTACTGAAAATTGATTTTTTATAGGAACGAAAGAGGCTTTGCTCGAGGTCAGCATTCGACGAAAAATCAGTTTGAGCTTGACGAAATTGAGAGAAAAAGGCAGAAAATTCTGGAGCACCAGGTACAACTTAAGGACCATGATCTTTTAGTAATTTTATTATAGTTACCAAATGGTTTGCATATGGGACTTTCATTTACAATAATGAAATAAATATTGATTAACTCTTTTCAAATTTGAATATGAGATATCAAAAATTTGTAAACAGATAGATAATCAAGCAATTAATGAAAGATATAAGAAAGGTGCTTTTTAGAACTTTTTTCTTCTCCTGTAATATAGATTCTTTATTACTTTTTGTTTGTCTACAAAATTTGGAAAACTGTAATAGAAAATCGTGTGTTAAAGTATGAAATGATTAAAACAGCCTTTCAAAGGCCTAAAATTTTATAAAATGTGAACTTTTGTAAATTTTTTGTTCTAAGAGATGATTCTGTTTGGCGTTCCTTGGTGCTTTGTCTAGCGTAGTCAGCAGACAGACCGTTAGACTTTTCCATGTTATTCAAGCTTAAAGTAAATATAAGCCCTGTGAATGCTCATCGTGATGTGTCTACTCTTATGTTTTCCCCCAAAGACATTGCATTTTCAAATATATTCTATTTTATCCTTTAGTCTCTGTTGAAGCCATAGCAGCAAAAATCCTTTGACTTAATTTTTTAGAGAGCTGTTGAGGAGCAAGTTGAAGAGAAACGAAGATTGAAAATGATAGAGAAAGAAAGGAAGTTCAGAGAAGAGCGGGAAGAAGAGGAAAAATTAGCGAGAGAAAGAGAGCAGTTGGCTAGGCAATACGAGGAAGAAGCAAGGAAGCGTATGGAGAAAGAGGTACTAATTTATTCTACTACCTGATATGCTAGAAATGAATTCACGGCTAGGTAATATCACATTGCTATTAGAGAAGCTTCTTGCAACTATCTTTTTGTTTGTGATGGACAGCTACTATGCGAAAAAATTAGGGTCCCTGCTCACTTGATAGAAATAATGTTCACCTACAAGAAAAGTGTCCAATTCCCCGTAACTTTCCCTTCTGTAAAGCTTTGCCGATTCTAACAAACTACGCCTCTTACACAAGCTTACTGTTACGGCTTTTACACAAGCTTACTGAGTAGAGTGACAGGCATGATTGATTCAATTATATAATATAACAATGTACTCACCCAGTATTCTCAGATCCCCCTGTTCTTCCAACTTTGGGAAGTATGTTTCCACCAGTGACGTAAGGGGGCCAAATCCATATTTCGTTCAAAAGCTTAAAGACTAGCAAGTACGGGCCCTGAAGAACCTTCGGAAAATTTTAGGTGGCTTTTATTTACACTGACACCTTTAACGACTAAGGTCAGAGGTTAAGTCGATGTAGTTGGCTACAAACTGTCATAAATATCATTTTTGTCAGGTTTTATGAAAGCTCTGGCTTTGTTATTAGTTGTTTTAGCCATGGCTCCCGGCATGTGAAACCCCAAAGACCCCTGCAACCAGCTCTACATCATTGCTACCCCATATCCTTGCCTTCCTTTCTAGGTTTACTAACGAAAAGTTTTTGATTAGAAATATGAACAATGGCGGTACAAAATTTGATAATGGCTTTGAAAAAAGCAAACTTTATAACATACTTAAAGCTTTTCGTCTGACACTCCTAGAGTATAAGGTGTCAGAATAAGGGTCCGAAAGAACAAGATAGAAAATATATACCCAGTTGTGGATCGAAATAGGCCAATCGGAAATATGTTATCAATATGATGTTTATAATTTGACTTCTAGGAAGCTGAAAGACAGAGGCATCTGGCCTTGCAACAAAGCGTTCTTGAAGCATATGATGCTGCAAAGAAGGTATTCTTAACTATGGTCCAATATCATTTCTCCGAGAATTTAAGTACACATCGATAACAGCTGCTATTGAATAACCGTTGTTTGCATTTTTGTGTCTGGCCTGGTCACATCTTAGCTGATGATGTTGTCAATATGAACCGATAAATTCCTTGTTTTGAGTTGAAGCTAATCATATTAAATCTTACTAGTGTTTAGGATTTCCTTAATATTCATTGCGTTTACGAGGTGTGGCTTTCTTCTGTATTATTTGTACGAAACCTGGGAATGATAACAGTTCTTATCGAAGCAAGTAATATCTCTTGCTAACGTAGAAATCTAATTGTGGATTCATTGATAAAGGTTCTTATAATTATAATTAGCTAGTTTACATCCTGACATTAAACGTTTAATAAATTCCGCTTCCAAATATTCTTTTAATATGAAGATGTCATTTTGGTATTTTGTTTTGGTTTACATTGAATCGAAATGAATAACAAGTTTTACTGCAGGAAAAGCAAAACACCATGCTTCGAAAATTGAAAGCAGGGGGACATGATATTTCCAAACTTGAGCCAGGCAGCCATGCAGAAAGTAAGTTTATTTAGGTGCTTCAAAAAGTCATGTCGTGTGTGTTGCAGTTCTTGTATCAAAAGTAAGATACTCCAAACTGTACTTCTTGACATCAGATGCGTGTACTGCTTAGGAGTTAAAAATTTTGGTCCTTAAGACAGTGTATGTCGTAAACTTTCCTTATTTATCAACATGACACTGAATAAATTGTGGATGTTTGGTTTTATCTGGCTTTCTCGGTTCTGATTAAGCGATCAAAAAGTTATGTTAGCTCAGAGTCCAGAAACTATTACGGTTCCACGGCTGTGAGGCAGAAGAAGGTTTTCCAAAAATGCAGGGCATTACTTGACAAAAGTATATGATGTGAGAGGAATTTACTGTTGTGCTTCAACTTCTGATTTTTTGTGACAAACCTTAGATACTTACTTAAATTCTATTTCTAAGAAGCTTTTATTCAAAAGATACAAGGAAAATTTTGTGAAGTGCAAATATTGCGCAGTTGATCCGTTGGAAAGTTGAGGCTTTTTTCTGAACTCTGTTTAAGCTAGAGAGAGGAAGTAGCTGATATAACCAAATTTGTAAAAATGCAAAGTTTCTGCTATTGATAATTTCATTGTGACGAAAATTGTTTCAGGATTTTTTGTGACGTCAAATATACTGTCAATAAATTGTCCGGTTATATTGGCCTGAACTCATTCAGGTATCTTTGACTTGCAGGTATAAGTTTGAAAGAAGAAGAAAGTTCAAGAACCGAAAAAAGCATCTCAAGGCTATCTTTACCCTCCCATTCTATGGATGTTCCGTTCCAGATTTCTTCACGGTCTGACAAGGAATTTAGGCCAATTTTAAACCTTATGGATGAGTCTTACGAAGGTGGGAAAGAAAAGGAGAAAAACAATGCAAAGGAGAATGCAGGATTGAAGGATAAAGCTAAAGCGAAAACGTCAAAGGATGAAGCCAGTTCCAGAAAGGGAAAAGGCGAACATAAAGACTCCAGGATTCCACAGAAACCGGGCCGAAAATCTGACCCGAAAAAAGCCTCTTTGGGTAACAGATCAAAACAGGAAGAAAAACAAAGAAAGGAAGAAACTACTTTAAAACACCGGGTTGATAAAAGTTTAAAACGGACTAAAGAGCCTATAAATAATCGGAATAATGTCTTGAAAGAAAAGGCGCCGAGAAATAAGCGAAAGGAAAATAAGGTAACAAGCGAAAGACTTGTTGTGAACCATGAACCTGTGGTCGAAGATCCAGAAAGGATTACCTCACCAGATCTTGATGATGAGAAAGGTCCATTGCCTGTATTTGAGGTAGAAAATAATGATGAGGGATTTGAAAGCTTTGGACAATATTCGTATAATCGCACTTCCACAATTACGCTAGAGGAGAATTCTACGTCACGTGGAAATTCTGTTGGCAACCCAAGTAGATTATCACACGTTCAAAATAAGGATGAAAATAGTTCTTGGGTAAGCTTTGAGCTTCCAATGCCTATTTCAGTTTTTCAGCAGTTTAAAAATCAGGATAAAATCTCCAAGCAAGTTTTTAATTGTTCCTATCACCATCATTTCGGAAAACTCTAAACTGTATCCCATTTTGTTAAGTAATTTATTCATATGTGTAGGCTACACCTAGGTGTGTTGAAAAGAGTTGCACCTCCGTTATTAATATAACTCTACCCTCGAGCACAATTGTGAGATATATTTAGGTTGTCAATCTGACTTTCAACTTTTTGCTTAAGCTTCCAAATCAATCGTCTTAGAGAATCTAAGATTGAATCTCTACATGAAAAGTGGAACCCATGTATTTGAAAATGCGGGCAATGCCCTATTTTATATTTAAGGCAATGACTACTGGCTTGATAAAGGGATCAAAATCACCCCGCTTAAAGTGGGAAAGGCTTTATAGCTCTTAAAGCTGTAGGATTTGGGACAGAAAAGGGATAGGGGAAGGTAAAGGAATAATCTAGTGCTCCAGGGAAGGGCAAAATATTGAAACAGCGAGAAAGCAAAGAAAGTCAAGCGATTGCATGCATAAACGGGAATTCTAATGCAATATTTAAAGATAGTCCTAATTCTATTTAAAATTTTTGCAAACAGTGGTACAGGGGCTCCGCCAAAGGCAAATTAAAGACGTATAACACAAGGTTTTGCAAAAAGGTATCATTTTGCAAAGAAGAGGGTGGCCAAACCCTCCCCTCTTCGCCGGAGGCCCTTCGGTAGAGCGGTGCTTTCCTTCCTGCCTATGATCATAAATTTCGTATGTTTAGCAACAGTCAGAAATTTTGCAAAGATTTATATAATTATGGCTGTACAAATACCTAATCAATTATAGATTGATTTTTTTGCTATTGTCTTTTTTGTTAACAGGACTCACGGGGGTTTCCAACTGAAAGGCAACAACAAATTCTGGAACAACTTCAAGTGCTTCGCAAGGTAAGTGCCATTTTCCATGATATTTTTAACCGAGCTGCAACAACTGCAGTTTCAAACCTGAACTTATTATCAGACTAGAATGAAATTTCGCTTATCACCATTCATCTTAATTATCCTCATCACTATCTGAATTTCTCACGAGGAATTTAACCACTTGGCCTTGCTAATTATTTGAATCAACCTACTTTCTGAGACTCAAGTTGAGACCCTGCTTTCGTTGGGACTCTGCTCATTTCAAAAGTCAATGTTTGTACCAGGCACCCTTCACTGTGCATTTGAAACCTGTGATGTTTATCAGAACTTCGACTTAGTGAAATGGAATTTTTAACAAAAGTTGCGCGAGATGATCCAATGGCTCTGAAATGTCAATTCAATTGCGACCCTCTTGGGAGTGGTTTGAAGCACAGTTTACATAATTGAGACATTGAATTTCGCTGCAGTATTTTTAAGGCAGTGCAGCAATGGGTACATAGCCAGTAAAACTCCACGAGTGATAGGAAAAAGTCGGACTAACTTTTAGGCCTAGAAAGCAGGTCGAAGTTGTCATAAACTAGAGATGCACATGCAGATATCGTGAATTTATATACTAAAGGCAGTATGAGTGGAGAGGATGTGTTTTCCAGCGAGGGGCGCAATGAAGTATGTTCTTCGCTTAAGGAAATTCTACGCACTCTGGAACAGATGAATGGAAAACTTCATGCAATCGAGGGAAATACAAAAATGTGTGACGAGGAAGCGGTTTGTGTTGCAAGGCAGTCAAAAAAGGCCGTATTGGTTTCAGTAAGGGTTAACATCTTTTCTGTGTCGGATATAGATACAGTGAAACAAGAATTTACTTGCGAATTTTTCTTAGCGGCGACTTGGGAAGAACCTCAGCTGCAAGGAAAGTATAATGTTTCTGAAATTGACTGGTCACAACATTGGGATCCAAGAATATATTTCGTTAATGCTGTTGAAATCAAAAGCATGCAAAGAAACACAAATTAATAAGATTGCCTTGCAAGCCGCATCCAACTGTTCAGCTTTCGTTCCGTGTTGTTGGCCGTTTCAAGTCGCAGTTCATGCTTCATAGCTTTCCGTTTGATATCCAGACGCTGAAAATTCAAATTTCGTCCAAATGGAGTAGTACTGTGCTTATCTTTGATCGAACACCCAACATTCCTTGCGTGCTCTCAAATAAAAACTTTCTTGGAAAAGATGAGTGGAACCTTCTAGATCACGTGATCACAAAGGGTGCGACATCCTCTGAAGACTCTTCGAAAGTTCTCTCATCAGCTACTCCACATTTGCTTTTGAGTTTCACATAAGACGAAGATACTCATATTATCTGACAAACATAGTTTTTATGATGTTTCTGATATCTCTGTTGTCATTTACTACATTTTTCATCGATCCAGATAGTACGGGGGATCGACTCAGCGTGATACTTACACTGCTACTCACAGCTGTAACCTTCAAGTTCGTTGTTTCGCAAAGCTTACCCCCGGTATCATACCTAACTGTTCTTGACTGGTATGTTCTAACATCAGTTATTTTCATCTTTGCTGTTGCCTTGGAGAATAGCATCGTTTCCAAGATAAAAACAGTGGATGGCAGAAAGCTGTTTGATAATCTTTCTTGTGGCATCGCAAGCTTGTCCTTTATAATAATTCACATATGGTATGGAGTCAAATCTGCAATTATCGTCAGACGAACAACTAAAGAGTTAGAATACCACCAGAGGTGCTACAAATGGAAAAATGGGCTGCTGCCTGTTTGTGAAGAGCTTGTTTCGGGGACCTTGCGTAATATGTCCAGCTCTTATTCGCCATCCCCAAGAAGGCCTTTGAGAAGAGCATCATCAAAGAGTGACATAGAAGAAGTTTCTCCCTTTGAAAGTAATTTAACCCATCCGAAAACCAACATGTTGAGGGAAAAACTCAGAGAACAGAAATTGATATCTGAATGTGAAAAGCCCATTGGTTCACTCACTCGACGAAGAAGCTTGAATGAGTTAGCAAATAAAAGAGAAGATTCTGGACAGGTAACGAAACAGGGCAATAATGAAGGGCGTATTATCCAACCTCGTACAAAAGAATCTTTCGAAAAATGGAAAGGTTTGAAAGCATCTGTTGCATCTTCCAGCCAATCCTGCCCTGATTTCGGCCTCAAAGAAAACGATAAACTAGCAATTTTGTCTTCCACTGCCAAAGAACGAAATGCATTGAGTATGGGAGAGGACAGTGAAAAGGACGTTCGTTGTATTGGGCTGTTGGCACCGCGCAGAAAAATAGGCAGTCAATCATTTCCACATAGTGAGTGTGGCAAGAGCACAATTTTGGGTTCTGTTGGGGGTCGTGCAAAAGATTTCGTTGCTGGCAATTTCGATCTTTACTCTGATGAAAAGGCAAGAGAGCGATCTGGTGTTGTTTCAAAGCTCGGTCAAATAGAGCCGAGCACGTGCTTGAAGGAGGCCAACAGATCTCTGTCTCAAGATTCAAAGGTGGGAAATTTATCAGAAGACTGTAAAGGCATTCCTGAAAGTGAGGAGAGTAAGAAGGCAAATGATGATCAAACAAAGGGTTGCCAGTCTTTACATGTCTCACGCTCATCATCCTGTTTGAAAGATAGCTCTGTCAGCCAAAGAAATTTGTTTTTAACAACATCTGAATCTTTTGGAAGTCTACTTTCAAACAAGAAAGTAGCTAAATCTGTTTCATTTGATATGGAGCGCAGAGAAGACGATGCTGAACGAAACAATGGTATCAGAGTAATAAAGGACAAAGCTGTTCTTGAGAAAGGTGAGAAGGGAACCGAAAAATCAGCTTTGACCCCTCGAATGTCAAGGAGTGTAATGCAGAAAAGCCCTATGCTTTCAGATCTTGAGGTGGTAAAACCTATTATTATAAAGGAGGATAGTGTTTTGAAGGAAACGTCATTTAGCACGAATCGAGAAATTGCTAAAAACAATGCCAGCTGTGTTGCTTCACATCTGGGGCTAGAAAAGACATTCTTGCCAGTTTACAGGACACTTCAAAAGACAAAATGGATTATGAATCAGACGAATCCTCAGGCTCTGATCTCTCTGAATCAGAAATCACGGGACCGATTGCTAAGACAGAAAGTGACATCAGTGTTCTCATGCTTGGTGGGGGTATGAATAGAATTTTGGGTCTCTTGCTGAGATGGGAATGGGGATTAGTAAAGGAAGAAACATAGATTGGAAACGAGGGTGACTATCAAGATACCAGTTGTTGATATAAAACTTAATAGATGGACAAAAATCTTTTTTAATTAAAGACTGACATATCACAGTGCTGACTCAATTGATAAATAATAAAACTGCATGTTGTGTTTTCTATTATATTCGAATTGTAATCGAGTTTTTTAAAAAAAACAAACTAAATATGTAAGGGTTTTTTTATAACACGTTTGACACGTAAACGATTCAAAGGGCACGAAAGAAGCATTGGCCGTATTTATCAAATGGCAACCAATCATAATAAAAGCCCTTTTTGTTGCCAGACATTCCATGCCTTTATTTTCATTGATTAAGATCTATCTCTGGAAGTTGAAGATATTTTCAGGTTGTTTTAAGACAACCAGGACTGATTTCCATTTATTGTTCAAGACTCGAGAGTAAGCTTAAGGCAAGCTGCATTTATTCTGTACAATTTCTATGGTGTGAGACGCATCTTAGAAATAGATTCTTGCATCATCCTAAATTTTTCTGATAATTTTGGGTTTAAATCTTTGAAGAAACGTAAATGACTAGATTCAAATGCGAATTGTGATCTCCCTGCTACATCCCCTAAGAACTTTTCCTCTTTTTTTCACTCCTCCTGCAAATATCTTTTTTGGAGTATATATGATTTAGCCTGGTCTCAATAATTTTTAGCTATTCTTATATACATATACAGTTTTCCAGCTCGTGGAAATTTTTTTAATTGATAATAATGGTTGCAAATAAGGGATGATAGCTGCAAGAAGCTATAAATAAAGAAGGAACCAAAGTTTGTTCTGAACAGCAATATAGAGTAGAAGCTATAAAGTGTATTAGATGTTAATGTATTTGAGAACCGTCAAAAGCTGTCCCAGTTGTAGTTGTTGCTGTTTCTATATATCTCGCTATTATGTATCAGAATTAAGTGGTGGTTGAAAGATAGGAGTATTTGTTTAAGCAAAAGTATTCTTGGGTTGGTCTTGTATCTAACGAGCCAAAGTTCACATTAAAGTGTGAGAACCTTATGGTTGTTCTTCTTCTCAATCAGAACTGTTCAGGCGTTCTTCTTGTTAGGCTAATTGGTTTATCGTCATAATTTGATCTGGTCATGTTGAATAAGGCTGGTCAGACGAAGACTGGCGCTGATCTTGTTTGTGTTATATTCTGAATAAGAGTTTGAGTAACATCCTAATGTCCGTAAGAATCGTATTGATTCTACTTAGCAGTTGATTACGTAACCTGTTCCGTCCATCAGTCTTCTTGTTGTTGTGCCCTATCGTATGACATCAGCTACCAGTTTATGTCATTTTTTCCTGCTTTTCGTGCTCCTAGAAGTTTTCGTGTATATTTGTATTAGGAGTGCTTAGGGTTGGCCGCCAACCATCAACCTAAAAAATAATTATAGCTTGCAAATTGACCCAAAAGATAATTTTTCTTGCCCTACACGTTAAAGTTTGCAATTTTCTCTATCTTTTAAACTTTTCTTATATACAAGACCCAAAAAAAATTCAGAATTTCATGAACCCAATGTAACTGTACAATTGACTGTCCTAAAAAACATTTCCACAATTCTAAGCCCATGAAAGTAACCTGAGCACCCACATCCTAAAAACATATTAGTCCCTTTCCCGGGGTGAAAACAGTGTAATGTCTCATCCAAACACTGACCCCTTGTTATCAATCCTCAATACGAAGCACATGCCAAACTGGCTGGGACGTCAAGCTTTGAAAAAAATTTAATAGGAGTAAATGTCGGTTGAACTTATAATAAATGTTCCCATGGAATAATTTCTGTTGAACAATCCAGTAAACGCTTATGCGACAGGCTTGCAGACTTTGTTGCAGTTTTTTGATGGTATAAAAGGCAGGATCTGTAGCTTTTCTTTTTGTGATAAATTCTATCTATGATCAATTTATCTTTTATAATAATAATAGTAATGATTTAATGATAATACACTGCCAAATTTTCTTCTCGGAGCAGTTATTATGAAATAAACACATCATTGCCAGGAAAAACATCACGTGTAGTACAGTATAAGGCAAATTTTTTTCCAGATTTGAAATACTTTAACTACAATTTTTAATAACTCTTTTTATTGCTTTTTACAAGATTTTGGAAGATGTAGTACTTCTTTTGTCGATTGAGGAAAATTACTTTGCCAAACTGATTTTAGTATGAGTTAGGGAAATTACTTCACGAATACAGTAGTTTCAGAGAAATATTTTGTCTCTTTTTACATCTTGCAACACCACGCCTTCGTCCTCAATATCTGTTCGATATGACCTGAATCTACGTTCGCTTTAATTTTGGTTATTTTAAAGTCATCTTCGAAATGATAGTCCAGGCAGAAATAATCTATGATTTTTATTTAACCTTTCAATTGACTTCACAAACTTTTCTTTGTCAATAATGAATTTTATAATAATATTGGTAAAACTTGATAATTATTCAGACTTGAGACTTTTGATTTATTTGAATAATCTAAGCAAGCAAAATAAACATGACTTTAAAGCAAAAGTTTTGAGGTACTCTCCTCGTTGTAAAGCTTGTATTTTGCTAGTATGTTCAATTTCTGTTTCTTTTCTTGATGAAAAATAAAATAGGAAGGATTTTTGCTTTTTTCTCCATTCTTACCAAATTATATGACTAAGAACAATTTTAGGCTCAGAATCGCAAATTTGTAGTAATATTTCAGCTCAGTAAGAAATAAGGTTTTCTTTTAAGAAAAAACAGTGTATGCCATGTATCTGTCCCTAATGACTTTTGATTTCTTTATTTCAGGGTCTTCTGGACAAGCAAAAAGAGTACGAAAAAGTAAATACTCCTTCAGGAGGGAACTTCCAATGAATTACTTAGAAATTTTAATATATCTAGTTGTACATGCACATATCATTTCAGATATATATATATATTGTTATAGCTGTAAATTTAATAGTATTTCAATCAAATGCACACTAATAAATAAGCTCTTATTGCTGTTTGTCTGCTGTTTCCACTGTCAAAATTTTGTATCCAAATTTATTTGAAGTTGGCGTACAACTTAGTTTTGAATCAAAAAATTACTAATTGAGAAAATATAGAACCATTTGCCATTCTGGTTTTGAAAAGACATAAGCTGAGAGAATTGTTTTCTCATTTGATAAAAAGATATTCCTCAAATTTCGGAGATGCTCAGGCAATGTTTGATTGCTTATTAAGGCCTCGTCTATGTTAGAAAAGAATTTCTGAATTTATTTGTAACAGCATCATTGAAGTGTCTCACGACGTTTATGTCACCGCCATGATAAACCTATCCCCCTTCCTGGAACATTATTCTTTTGTCAAATTCGTTTTCATCGACTACAAAATTTCAAGCCAGGTATTCAGTAAACAGTTGCATGCAGAAAGGCTCTCATTGAACCATAAGGATAGTTTGAGCGATGACATTTTTTAATTGGACTTGTATCTCTTGATGAAAATTTTTCAGAATTATGAATGAAATCCTTCAATTCCTTGCAAAATAATGTAGCATTTGGCCCACAAATTGTTGAGAACTGAGGCAAATTACTCCAAGAAAATCTCGTACACTTTTAAGAAAAATCCTATTGTTTTATCTGAAAATCCCTGGAAATCCTTTTACCCCTCGGTTGAGAAGGCAATGGTACATCGTTTGTTGCAACTTCAGTTACCAAGATAAAATAAAGAATTTTTTTATCTTGCTGTTTTGGCAATGTTGCATCATTAGTAAATCTTCATGAAAATATTTCCGCTGGTCTTTCTTCTGTGAAATCCCCAACAACTCGCCGAAAAACAATGATATTGAAAACAGATCATTGGAAACTTTAACAAGGCAAGTAAATAAATGGACAAATATTGCATCTAATGTCTCACCGTTTGGACAGGGCTTTAGGTTTGAGAAACCTTTAACAATACGGGATAAATGGGTATTTGCATCTAAATCTAGTTTTGTTGTTTTGTTGAATGAAAAAATTGTTTTGGAAATTCCTCGTGGGAGAGTGGATTCCAAAACTTTTCTGAGGCTATGTAAATTGTTGTGTCCCTATATGTTACTGGTACTACGTAGCTCAGTAATGTAGACAGGAAAATTCATAGGAGGGGCGATATATTTAGATTTTCCAACAAAAATCGAATAAGCATTTTTTATATTTTTATTGAATTAGAAATGAAATAGAAAACGAGATTAAATCTCCCATTAAGTCAAGTCAAATGTCATAAATCAGGCTACTTGGAGATTTTCGTCTCTTAAAAAAGGCATTTCTAAGTACCATAAACTTGCCAATCGTATTCAGAATGATGGAATAATCGTTACATTCAGCTTTAAAATCTTTATATCAAATCTAGAATAAGATAAAAAAGAGAACCACGTTTTATTGCCGACGAGATCAGAGCTCTTTAGCTTTACAGGGGTTTTGCCCCCTCGGACCCCCTCTATCGAACTAGAGGCTTGGAAAATAACATTTCTTATACTCAGAGAGAAAAATAACGTTTTTGCTTACAAGACACAGAATTATTTGTTTATTCCCAAGCTGGAAGGTTTGAAAAACAAGCGATGGCAACTTTTTCTCGCAGTGCGCCTGGAATTTTTAAAGGCATTTTGAAAAAAAATCACATGTGCGATACAGGATGTTATGGTTTCAATTTCCATTCAAAGAAATTCCACGCCTATAGAGGCAGTATGTAGAAACAAAGTCAGAACATAGGAAGATTACAATGAAGTTAGCTAATCCAGTTTGATTTGAATGCCCCTCCTGTCTGAGACATTTGCTTTTCTCACCTTAGGAAAGGGTGTGTGTAAGTTTTGATGTTTGGAAAGGAGATTACGCAAAATATGAATTCTAATTGGGTACATTTGAGGAAAAGCCAATACTTTTAGCCATAAATGGGCAAGGCGCGGCCACTTTTAGAGTAGTTGGGTCATCTCCGTTTCAAAGTAACTTCTTGCATGGCCTAGTATTTGGTTGGATTTACAGCCTTGTCGGTCAAAAATGGATGATTTCAAGCGACTAGAATTCATCCAAATCCAGTCAACTCTTGGGAGAGAAAAGGTATGGATCATGGCTTTCTGATACGATTGATATTCATCTATTTTGAAACTAGTTTTACATTTGACACGAATTAGGTGTTGATGGTGTTAACCGAAGTAGGCCGGGCACTTGTCTTGCAGCAAATGCGATGTGTCGTGGTTGGGCAAAATTTCATTTCGTGAGAACTAATGTCTTCGTTGTAATAGAGAATAGAAATGAATTTCTATTCTGTGGTTATAAACTGCTCTGGTAAATGCACAGCATGAAGCAAATATTCATGTTAATACGCACAGCTAATAATTATTGGAATTGTTTTGTGCAGGAGGCTCCTGACCATGCTGCCACCAACAGCTGTTTTGGATTGTTCTTCAATTAGGAAAGATAAAGTGTCGATAAATCTGCTTTTCAAAATTATACTTTTGGTTCTGTTATGTTCCAGATATGACCTCTCTCTGCAATGCTATCTTCCGTTGACCTGTGAGACATCTGATAAAATATAGCCAATTCCAGAAATTTATTTGGTGCTAACATGGATCATGCTGAACTCATCTTGATTCCGCTCCTTTGCTTTAACATTTTTCAAGATTTTTGGTAGATACAGCTTTCTAGATATTAACACATGTGTATCCAGCATCAGTTTTAGATTTTGAACACAAATTTATTAGTTTCTTTATCCTTTAGGTTTCAACTTAAAATTACAAAAAAATTAAGCAAGCAAGTTGATCAGGTTTTGATATAAGAAGTTTTGAATTTAAACCTTTTGTGTAAAACAGTACAATTTCGAATCCAAAGATATCTCATTCTGAAGATATTTTATTTGATGATGCTTTGCTTTAGGAATTTTGACTCTGTTACAATGTGAAATTTTAAATTCTGAATTTTATTGGTGATGCCACTTTCTTTGATGGAGAAGCAAGTCATGCAAATTTTCCACCAAAAATTAGGGGTGTAGAGAGAAAAAAGGTTTTGAAATAAAGGGGCAGGGTACCAACTTTATGAGGGCAGAAGAGGGGGCATTTACCCAAACAACATTTGAAAGTGCAGTGGCAGAAGTTATGGTGGGTTTTGAAGATAAAGGCCTTAAATCCATGAAAATTTGAGTTTAAAACCCCTGATAATCTGTTGAGTGTGTCTTTTTTAGAAACATTGGGCATGATCTTGCCAAATGTATCTCTAAGTTTCTACCACCGTGAATGGTTATGTAAATCTGTAGTTGCTGCTGCTGCCCTCTGTCTGTGAAGAACCTGTATTCGAGTCTTTAACAACTTTTTTTGTATTTAGATAACTCCCATTTACCCCCTTCTTGTTTTTTAGTTTCAGGGATTTGAGTATGAAGGTTTAGAGGGAACCACCTGTTTGAATTGTAGAGATGGCTGTCCAGGTTTTATAAGACACCCCTGGAGGTATGTTAGCATATTTTTATAATGTTAGTTATATTTAAGGCATTGAGTCATGGTAAATAGGCCTTCACTATAGGGGATCATTCGGTTTTGGTGTGTTTGCCGCAGTTTTATGTGATATTGGCATCTGTTATTGAGACTGGCTATTGATGGAAACTGTCTTATTGATCACTATGAATTGAGTTCATGTAAACGATCAATAGCATTGAGGCTTGAAAGTCATGACTCAGCAGAATAGGGTTTGTTTCTGTATACCCGCTCCTTTTATCGTGACTCAGTGCCTTTAAAGGTAGTCTTATTTTTTTATTCACTTAATGACCTTCCATATCAAATCACTAGTATCTGTTTCAAATCTTATTAGCTATATCGTGTTTCACCTGTCTCAACTGCTGGGTGACCTTTGCCCATTGAAAAAGGTGTTAGAATTTGATATCTAAATATATATATTATATATATATCAAAGAGTTGAAGAAAATAAGACTACATGTTTATCTCTACAAGCCTGTTTCATGAGTAACTCACTCTTCAGGAGATGTTCAGGAGTTTATATTTATGTATCTATAGTTTTTCATCAATAGTTATACAAACATACCTCAAGGGAAGGTTCCTCCATTTCAATGTTCCCATGTTTAAGTTGCTCATTGTTTAAGATCTAATTTGAGAAATAAAAGTCCTATCAATCATTTTTAAGAAAATGTTTTTATTGTTTCCAAGGTGCATATAGGCAGTGCCTTCTTTTTCACAGACGCAGCTGTGGAAACTGTAAATGTGGCCTTTGGGATCACGATCTTCCTCAAAGTGCAGGATTTCACCCTTTTGATAGAATATGCGTGGAAGAGACATTGCCACCAATGATGTCAGAATATGACACAGCTGTTGGTGAGGGGTTTCTTTGGGTGCCAAGAGGGCTGAGAAGTGCTGGGGTGAGTCTTAACTACAGCTTGCAATTCTAAGAATGATTAAGAAACTGAAGAATAAGAGAAATATTTTACAGCTTTTTGAAAATATATTCAAAATTTAACAACTGGGGGTCTGATTTTATGATCCTGTGAAGGATCGTTTAAAACCCCAGCAGGCCCGTCAGAACTGGGAGGGCTGGGGGCTGGAGCCCCCCCAATAATTGTCAAACTGTAGTATGTTTCTTTTATGGCAGTGTACTGAACGAGAAGGAAAACAATGGGCAGCCCCCCAATTTGAATTTCATTCCAACGGCACTGCCCAGTACCAGCTTGGTATTATATAGTAAATAATAAAACAGTTCAGCTCTGTGTCAACCTGTTTTCAATCCCAGAAGATGGTAAGTAATGTGCCAGTAAAGATGGGGGATGCATATAGCAAAGAACTAGTGTTTGCAGCAACAAATGATTGATTTGTTGACAACTTCTCTGCAGTTATTGACTTTGCTTTTAACACTACATATGCAATTGCAAATTACTCTGAAAAATATAATAAGTATTTGGTTGTATGTAAAAGTTGTACTAGAAAAGAGCTGTTTCTGAGACAATAGAGAAAAGATGGGAAAGTTTGGTTTAGAAAATGTTTTACTGATAAACGGTGGGTGAGCCATTTGTAGATAAATATTAATGGAAACAAAAAGGAAAAGTTGCTTTCAAGGCAAGCAGTTTGCTTTTTAAAGCAATTAAGGAGAGCAATCTGTAGCTCCTCTCCAGCATTTGAGGAGAGTCTGGAGGGAGCAAAAGATATTGCTTTCCTCAAACGGTCCAACCTGTTTTTGTAAAAGCAATATATCTTGATAATGTATTTGACTGAAGCATCAGAACAGTTTACCTAGCCATAAAGCAGCTAAAAGGGGGTCACCTCTCTGATGTAATCAGGCTCTGAGAAGCTCTGTCCTGGTTCTAATGCAGCAATGCCCTGGTCCCTTTTTCTTAATGTGACCACAACTCCTGTGCCTTGTATTATAGAGAGCTGGTGACTCTCCTCTTTTGAAGTGAACGTATGGTCATGGCAAGGACGTGAGCCCCAGACCAGGGGCGTTGTGAGTAGTGACTCTTGGGAGGGGGGGGGGTTGGGGTTGCACAGCCTGCAAATTTTTCCACAAGGGTTTGAATTCAAATTATGATGTCATCAAGCACATGGGCAGTTTTTTAAAATGCAGAAAGATATGAAAAAAATATGTTTCCTTCGCAGTATCACTTTGACTGATTTTTGATAAGTCGGTCAGAGGAAAGCCAGCGTCCATATTCATACATGGGATAATCATAATCATCAAATGCTGGCCCAAACACAGATAGCAAATCCACCCATTAAACAAATATTTACAAGAAAAAATCTCAGAATTTTCATCTATCAACTGTACTTGTGATCTTTGTAAAGATTGCATACTATGCAACATCAGTTTTATTTGATTTACTTTAAAGATATAAATTAGTTGGTTTTAATCAGTTCAAGTATAGCTAGAGATTGTACTAACTTTAAATAAAGAAAAGAACCCACCTTTATGCCAACATTACTTTTTCTTCGCTATACTCCAGTATGCCAAGGAAGTTATGAAGTCCGCGCCCAATATCTTTGGCGTTAGTTATTGGATTCCATCCTAGGTATTTTATCATGAATGTTATTTCTATTAACATCACCATATATAATTTTGTTTGCGATGTTTTTTTTATGGATGAAGATATTCAAATGAAGTATTCAGGATTATGTTTTTTTGTGATTTTTCTACTACTGTCAAAAAGAAGCTAATCAGATATGGTTATAATATCATGGTTTTCCATGAGTTATTTGACATGGAATCAACTATGAAAAATATTCAAAATTCAATTTGCTTTACTTTTTAACAGTGCATGATAATGTAACGAATTACCCACAAGAACTGTTTTACATTCAAGGAACACTGATCTTGTGGTCCAGTCGCCGTCATACCCAGATAAGAATCTGTTCACAAGACTGCATCTATAGCCGGATGTCGTCATAGCATTACACCCAGCCGTCATGTTTTATCTCTCATCAGAATGTGGAATCTTTTTAATTTACTTGTGGCAGTGGTGTTAATTATGTTTGAGATCGGAACCACTAATCATCAAATATGCTCACAATCATTTTCCATTTATCAAGAATACTTAAATTTTATTTAATAAACGTTCTGTGGAAAGATCGTTTTCGAAGATTATATTAGATTTTTTAGGCACAATAGACAACCCTTCCCTCAATTACTCGCAGATTACGTATTTTTCTTTGCTTTTTTGTGTCCATTTATTTCAACTTCAGCTTTTATAAGTTTGGTTTTGAAGAGAGCAAGCGTTTTTAAACATGCTAAAGCGTTTTACCTGACACTATTCGTAATGTAGGACGTCAGAACATAGATCGAAAAATCTAAGCTAGGAAATATACATACCCAATTGTGGATCGTAATGGGCCAATCAGAAACGCCAGCACGACTATAAAAGTGATTGTCTTAAATAACATTGCAAAGTGAGAACACTTTTTTATATATTGAGATGTTCATTTTTATTTCGTTCAGTTTTCTATTATTCTTAAAGTATTTGTTGTGGTACAGAATTTAAAAATGGCTTTGTAAAATGTTTGCTTTTTTCAAAGCCATTTTTAAGTATTTTTTTCTGTTATAGCAAAAGTAATTTCTTCAGTTTTTTATATTATGTTTTACTAAGCTTAATCCAAGTGCTTTAGATGGTTATATTATTTAGGTTGATATAATCATGTCTTGCCAACACAAAGGCGACCGAGTCTCTTTAACTATTTTAAACCTACACGGGCTAGACAGTGTTGCGACATTCCTCCAATCGTTTTTTTTGTGGTGCTTTATTTCGAGAATAGTGGTTAGAAGACATTGCTTTGGCAACAACACTGGGCATGATATAATATTGTGTCTGTCAAGGATAACAGCTTGTGCAAATGCAAATCAAACTGTAGCCAACCACTGCATATCAAGACACAATCGTTTTCTAAGTCGTACACCAAATAAAGTTATAAAACGCAGGGTACGTTCTCTTTGAACAATTAGGCCTAAAAGGTCTTTATCAGTGAACCTAAGGAGGCCTATAAAAGTTCAAAGTTTATATTTGATCTGTACGTGCATCAACCGGCTCTATCAATGAACATTAGGGAAAGGGTCAGTTTTAGTTCAAAGAAGCGTTATTTCATTTCAAAGCTTTTCAAAATGTATACCAATTTTTCGGGGTCTTTTGACGAAATTTCTGCCATTACTTCTGAAATTTCTTGTTTTAGCACCAAACAGTACCCTGCAAATGTTGTAAAAACTAGGAAAAACCCAAAGTTTATTTTTGTATATACTATGGCCAACTGAGTTTTAGTACAATTTATCTCAGGGTATATCCATTTCTGTTTAGATTGCTAATTTCATGGACCAACTGCCTGCAGATAAAGTTCCAAAGCAACGCACAGAGGGCGCAAAATACCGAGCCAGACAGCTGTTTTATCAATTGCCAAGGCAAGATTTTTCAACAAAGTATTCGAAATTTTTGAAGGAGGAAGAGAAGGAGTCGTTTATTGACATGAACAATGAGAGAGTAGGAGATGCTTTAGGAATAGGTCAGTATGAATGCTTAGGGGTTATTCCATTGGTCATCGTAGTTTAAAAATCACCATTTTTGTTTTTACAGTGTAATCTTGATAACTCAAACCTCTAAGGTAACGATGAAAATTATTCGACTTAACCATTGTTCGAGTACCAATTTATTATCTTGACTTAGCCTTCTATGATCTGTATTCAATTCTATCTGCTCTCTGCATGTCATGAGTGTACATCTTCAAAGTAGCTTTTTGCCTATTTTTTGTGGGATGAGACTGAGGATTTAAGAGAAAAACAGATTTTTCCATAGCAGCTAGCATTTATAGATGATAAAATATGAACCTTTGAAATCGATAAGCCTCACTGCGAATGAAAGTCTATGAATGGAAATGATATTTACAATTAATATGAAAATTTCATGATGCAGATATATGTGAACTTTAAAAAGTTTTTAAGTCAAGTTGTGAACTTCTGTATTTCCTTTTACTTGCAGCTGCTGTGCGGGGTATTTTGTCAATGTCAAAGCAGTGCACCTCCTGTAATGTTTACATCAGCAGTGGCGAGTCTGGCATTTTCACCGAGCGCGGTGGTGGTAGCAAGTGCTGGCATCCGCAATGCTTCACATGCCATTTCTGCAGAGAGCAGCTAGTTGATAATATATACTTTTTCAGGAATGGTCACGTGTATTGTGGAAGACACTACTCCGAATCAATTAAACCGCGTTGTGGTGGATGTGATGAGGTAATTTTCAACGATATCATCATATGTAATTCTAAATTACAAACAGGAAACAAATGGTTAAAGTCAATGAAACTTTCCTATCCTGACTCGAAGGGTACCCCAAGACTCAACTCTTGGACCCCTTGTTTTTAATATTTGTATGAATGACATTTTTCTTGTGGCGCTTTATGTTTCTTTGCTGACGACAACACATTACCTATCTCTGCTACTAATATTGAAGATCTTGGTAGGTTGGATGAAATAAACAAACAAATGTATGGATTGGTTTTATTGCATCTACAACGATAACAATTCTAAACGTTAGTAGCTTCCAAATTGTTGAGCATATTAAAGTATTTGCAATAAACAATGATTTCAGAATGAATGCCAGTAATAAGTTGACACTTTTGTACACAAAATTGGTAATCGCTCGAAATTTGATTCACATACAGAGAAACTCTGATTCGCACCTCAGTTTTCTCAAAAGAATTGCTCAGTTCATGGGCAGCAAATGGAAACAGGTTATAATTAACTTATTTAAACTTTATCATCTCAACTTTTGTCCTCTTGTGTGGCAGCCATAAAGGCAGAAAAAGGTAGAAAAAATCAATGAAAGATCCTTACCTCTAGCCCTGTCAGATTAGTCCTCCACTCACAATGACCTTTTGTCGACAAGGTCTAGTATACCACAGTACACATGCATTCAATCAAGCTTTTAGCTCTTGTTAAAACTTAGCAGAATTTGAACACCGCATTAATGATCTATGTGCGAACAATAACCTTTACGTTCCAAAGGTGAAAGCTACCAGGTACGGGATTCAGTCGCTTAGTTACTTAGGTAAAAAAATCTGGAATTCACTTCCAAACGGAATCAAATCTTTTAAAAGTATTAATAAATCTGAATTTATTGTCGAAAATTAGTCACAATTTCAGATCTATGCAGACTCGAAGTGTCCGTTTACCACCCTAGCAAAACCATGAATTCAAGTCTCATTTTGCGTGCGCTATTCCTGTACATTGTTGTATAGAAAACTAAAGGTTAGCAAATGCACAGATATTCTACCATTATGAACAAACATCATCTCGAAACAGATATCTATTAAAGCTGTTCTTGTTTACTGCTCTACGTGCTCTGCTGATTGGAATTCATGGGTCTACGAACGAAACTGATAGACATGTCATCCCAAAGAAGGTAGTTCATGTTAGCCCTTAAATGCTAGCTGCATAGTGACGTTGAAAAGCTCTTTCTGTTTTGCAGATGATCTATATTGGTGAATTCACTAAGGCCCTTGACAAATCCTGGCATATTGAGCATTTTGCTTGCCATAACTGCGACGTCCCTCTGACTGGCAAGAAGTACATTGTCAACAAGCATCAGCCTTTCTGCCAGAAATGCTTCACAGAAAATATCGCAAACAAATGCTGCATGTGTAAGAAGCCGATTGGGCCAGAGAGTAAAGATTTGTTTGTTAAAGACAAGCATTATCACAAGGAGTGCCTTATTTGCTCTAGGTGCCATAATCAACTGGTAAGTCTATTTCAAGGTATCATGCCCGTTTAGGCAATTATGGCATGTCGCATTTGCCTGTACTACCACATTCAGGCATTGTTGCGTATATTTGTATTTACAATGCCTTTCCAGTCAGATTCCTTTATGCTCATTTTTATTATCCAGATTAAGTTACTTAAAATTTGCTGCTTAAGCCAGTTCTATTGGAGCCTGCTTGCAGACAGGAAAGTTGTTCAATCTGCAGAACGACGTTGATATTATTATTTCTATACATACCGGCCTATCAACTTTGTTAGGATTGTTCCGTAGGACTTTGATCTTCTTCTAAAGCCCTTTTTCTTTATAGCCAGAAGTGTATCTCTTTCAATAATACAGGCAAAATTGAGTTTCTAGTTCGAAGACGATATGGGTTTGTGGATAAATAACGAAATGAATCGAAACAAAATGAAACAAAATGAAAAGAAAATAAAAGGAAACGAAACGAAACGAAATTAAACGAAGACAATATAGAATCTACCTGCCAGGAATCACTACTTACTGATAAAACGAGCATCCTATTAGCAGACATGCTAGTTACGATGTACTTACTTGAAGTTGAATGACGGCAAGGGCTCCCATTGGCTGTGCATGAAACATGTATATGGTTTTCTGGTGAAATTGTCTTTAACTGATAAACGCTTTTTCCTGTTTATCCTGGTCATTGAGTTATGACTGCTATTTCAAAAAATTTTCCAATGGAAATGTCCACTCCTGAATAATTGTTGACAAATTAGAACTGCTGAATTTCGCGACGAGCTCTTTGCTGCCATCTCAGCTGGTATCACGAAAAATAAGGTTCTAATGGAGAACTGCTTCCCAATGAAAATTTTTCATTTTTACACGAGAATCCAAACTTTAGTTTCCACTTTTGTTGATTTCAAGATGGACAAAAAGTAAACAAAAAAGTATTTTTTGGATATATTTGAAAGATAATGTTATTACCAGAAAGATCTAGAAGATGTCTACATATTTCAGTTAATGTCTTTGTTTTTCACGATGAGCAGCGTCTTCCGCCTTCCCTGTTTTTGAGGCGTCATGCCTCCAATGCTAAAAAACCTTTCATGGGAAGTTGTTGAGGAGATGGGTGTAATAGATAGTCGAAAGACACTTTGTACAGCTCAGTATTCATTTTCGTAATGTCATTATTGTTAATTTTAAGTTGCTATTAAGTACCACCAAATTAATTTAGCTGCGAATTTGCAGGAGAGCCAAACATTTGTTTGTGTCAACAACGAGCTTGTATGCAATTCATGTAGAGGAATCGATCCACCAAAGATCTGTGCTGGCTGTACTCGTGAATTCATGCCAGAAGAGAAGAAAATTGGAGTGAAGGAAAACAACGAGTATTACCACGAACTTTGTTTTCTGTGCAGCAAATGCAACAACCCTATAGGAACCCAGCAGTTTGTAAGAACAGGCCCAGGGACACAAACTTGTAACAGCTGCTATCAGTCACGTCTTCAGGTAGCTTGCGTTTTACATTCGTTGTTTTCTCTCATTTATGTTTACGTCCCTAATAGAAAGCTCGTGAAATGTTAAATCTTGAGTAATTTATACGTTTGCAGGAATTTTTATTTTTATTTACCGTCCTGTTTTGGTAGCCAACGAATTTGAGGGAGAGCAGTTGCTTTCTGTGAGCCATGAGCCGATTGTTTGACGATGGGTCCCATTTTGCAACCATTTTCCCATTTTGTTTGACGATGGGTCTCTAAACTTTAGAAATATACAGAAATACGTTAAACGGCCCTGAGTGTGTCAGCCTCTCATATAGTTTTTCATCTCATATCTTTTTAAGGATTGCATCAAATGCGCAATGGCAATCAAAGGAAACGTGGTGAAATTTGAAGGCATGCCTTACCATCCTGAGTGTTTCATTTGTGAGCAGTGCAGAGTTCCTTTGTCAGGTATGCTTTTTGCACTTTTGCTATAATGAACTCGCAGTGTTATGTTAAGTTGTCTGTATATACTCAATCGAACATAATCGCCGCTGGTTATGCCAGTTAGAAGCGCCTTGGTTATTTGCATTGGCAGTTGATATCATATTAACCAACTCAGAGCTGCCATGAACTGAAAGGGAATCCACTCTTGCAAATAGAGAACGAGATATCCCCCAAAACAAAATGATTCCCTGGGATTTTCAGATAAAACATAGAATTTCAACCAATGGTGTACGAGATTCTTATTGAGTTATTTGCTCCTCGATGGACGTCGGAAGCATTTCATAGTCGGTGGGGCACGGAGGTCGGAAGGGACACCATATCGAATATAAAGGGCACTATTCCAAAGAGGTTACTTTTAAGAAAAAGGCATTTGCTGGTGGGGGGGGGGGGTACATGCCCCTGGTGCACCCTGGCTTCTACGTCCCTGAAAGCTTCCTTATTTTGTCTTTGGTTAGACGTTTTATTGGATTGTATATGCCTATTTGTGAAGTTTGTATTTGTACTTAGTATGTATTTGTCAAGTTTGTTAAGTATATAATGATTATAGGCAAATAACGAAAGCCGTTATATGCAAGTTATTTAAAATGGTAAAGTCACATTTCGAATAGGTTTTCTTAAAACAGTGCTCTTTCTTAGGTGTTTGCTATTTATATATATCAAAAACGATGGGTCTAAACCTATTTTCAAGTTTCTATGAGTTGGGGGTTTTTCTCTCTTCTCTCCATTATATCTATTGCGAAAAGTTTTTAGCTAAAAATTGCTTATATATTCATGGTAATTTTCGATCAATATATTTTCCATCTTTCTCAATAAAACCTTTATTTTGATTTTGAGGGTTCAGATCTAAAATTCAGCAATATGATTTAAATATCAGGTTAGACGAATAGAAGGTGTTGGGACTATACTTTTCACTTTAAAATCAACTTTCTAAAAAGCCCTGAAATTTCAACAGGTCAGCAATTCTACCGACAAAACGACAGCCCGTATTGTGAAGGATGCTATCTTCGTTATTTTGGCAAACGCTGCAGCACTTGTTACAAGGCAATTAAGGGCAATACCAAATTTGTTGACTACAATGGCGAGTTTCATCATGACGAATGCTTTGTTTGCTCGAACTGCAGCAGAAGATTGGCTGGAGCAAAGTTTGTTATCAGAGATCGAAGCCTTCTCTGTGTTGACTGCAAGTAAGAACGTCGTAAGAACGTCGTAAGAACGTCGTTAGAACGCCTATGAGCTAAACTCGTGTTATCTGTTTTTGGATTGTTGTTTCGTTATCAGCTGTAGTATACATTCTTATTTATAGATAACGTGACCATAATTTGGTTGCAGAGGCTTAGACTTTGAAAATATAGCCTGTGTATTTAATGCAAAATAGCTTGCCCAGTTGATTGACTGGAAGGACAAGATATAGGCGCCCATGCAGATAGGTTTACTGTTTCTGGGCAAGGTTTTTGAATTGATGGTGAGAGTTATTTAAGCCTGGTTCCCACTTGTCCTTATTATCGTAAGATTCTGTGTGAACGTGTTTTCATAAACCATCCCCGAAATCGTCCTCTTCCCCGTCAAATAGAAATGAGTTCCATTTAAAAAAATCACGTCCCCGACGTCCCCAATTCTTACTCTTTACTGGGAAAAACTTTCTTACAAAAGTTTATAGTTTGACGAGAGACGATTTCGGCTTATAAAAAGCAGTAAGGATTCAATATTGCAGTTACTGTTTGTCATTTATCTTATTTTGCTTTTTGCCTCTTAAGCAGACGACAGTTTATCTGTTACCTTTAATTACCTCATATATATTTTTATTACCATATGTTGCATAACTAAAGTTCAGAATCGCAATCTGTATTACGAAAGGCATCATGCTTCAATGCATCTACTGTCAAGTGAGCCACTGTCAATGGCTGTATAATATTAAATGTTTTTTATTACTAGAACAACATGTCGATGAACGATTAAACTTGGATTTGTTGGAATGATTCTCGTGATTTTTCAGTGCAAAGTATTTTATATTTCTTGCAGTATTTAGATTTCTTAGTGTGGCAAAGTGATTCTATCATTGATCGAATTGTGTGTATTTAGTTTTGTATGGAATGAATGTGTCGTGAAGATTTTTTTTCTTCTCTGTTCCTTTTTCTTGCACCGTATCTTTCCTTCTTACACCAGGTTTTCAAATTGATTCACTTACCGTCTTTCCTTTAATGAACGCCGCCCTCTGACAAACGCCACCTTCTATTGAACGCCGCAACTTCAGCCAAACATTTTTAAAAAAGGCATCTTGAAAAGCAGCGTTCATTAGAAAACACACCGAACAAGAATAAGGAATCGTTTATACGCTTACTTTTCGAAAGCCATTAAAGTTTTTATCTCATAGAGACGAGGACTCTGACGGAGACAGGGATATTGACATTCCTTGACTTGACATTTTTTATCTTTTTTCATCGCATTTTTCATTTGACAAACTTTACTATTTGTATTGAACGCCGTCCTCCGATGAATGCCGCCCTCTATTGAACGCCGCATCCAAAATTTGGAGTTTGTAATAAACGCCGCGGCGTTCTTCAGAGGAAATATGGTAAGTACGTTGAAATATCACACTCAGTTTTGTTTGCTATGTCAAAGTTATGCTGTGTTGATAATGATGGGAGAGTCTCTTTGTTTTCCGATGTAACACAGATGCTTTGGTACTGAAAAAATTCAATATAGAACAAAAAAGTGAAACCTCGTCACGGAATACAAAATGTTTATTAGGTGCAGGATGAACTGAATAAGGTTCTAAGTTGCAAATTCTAGTTGTAAGCTTAATTTGATTACATGGCCCCTGTTAACAGGTAGCTCTGTCTATAGGGCATTGTGGGATGTAATCTGACCCGATGACAGTAATCTTTATACTGTTGCCGCTATCAGCTAAATGTGGCTTCTTCAAATTTTGCACTGCTATGATATGAAGAAATTAGAAGAAGACGTTCCTTTCCTTGGAAACAGTGGTGCCACTTTGTAAAGGCATTATTACTTTAAATGTGTTTAGATAGATTGAAATAGAAAGCCAAAGATTTCGGCCTGAATTTGGAAGCTTACGGGATATTTCAAATGTTTATCTACTTACCTACAAGAAACATCTTTTGTATTTCATCGTTGATTAAAGTCCTTAAGCAAATTTTGCTGGGCATATCACTTGGATTTTCGGTGACTATTTTGTCAGTTTCCTATGAAACGGAAAATGTTCCGCATCTGGCTTTTGCGAGTCCATGTTTGGTTTGAATGCTTCTATAAATTGGGATTACATTTGTAGCCTAGCTTCGGTTTTGGACGTTTTTGTGTACTAAATTCCGTCAAACAGGAAAAGTTAATTAAAAAAACCATATGCTGCTCCACAAGGCTCATATCTAGGCCCCTTCTCGTTTCCTGTTCGTAAAGAAAGTTCATTTCATCTCTTTTTTGTAGGAAGCCAATATGATTATCTAAAAAGAACCTGAAAATCTTTTACTAGCTAGTTAAATAATTTCAAACTTTTTGAAGTACGTTCTTGTTAGAGAAACAAAGGTTACTGTAAACCTTTTTTGACACGATACTTTCTCTCCCTAAAAGCAAAACTATTGTATGTCTTGACGATGCACAAGAATGTGGCGATTCCAACCATAATTCGGAAAGATTGTAAAATGATACTTTCCAGGAAGGTTTATTGCTTAAATTAATGTACCACCTTCAAAAGCTATTTTGTACCCTTGCGTTTGAAGTAACAAAATCTGACTTATATCAGCAGAAAATGCAGATTCTTAGCTACCAATGTGTGTCTCAGGTTTTTCAAATTCCTCCTCTCCTTGAAACTATACCCTGTCAAAAATTGGCAAACAACTATTCTTACCTCTCATAGCTGTATTTGGCTATAAAAGACGGACCAAAGCAAATAAAAAAGCCGTGTGCAAAGTTTTGAGCCATTGGTTCCTTGGCTACAAAATAGCTTTTTCGTACCTGTATGTAGAGGAATTGTAAGTCCGATTTTACTGATTTTACCGTGTAATCTGGGTCAAGTCACTTGAAGCTTCAAGATAAATAAGCCTGTTTAAATAAACCTGGCCGTACATGGGATGCATGCAAAGCATCCATAATCGGCTTAATAGGTCAAGAGATTTTCAGGCCTCAACTAAAAGTTTTGATAAAGAAATTATGGAAACCTTCGTTTACATGGAATTTTTTAAATTTTCAAAATTTCTGTTTGCTTCAAATTTGGTATCATTGTGTGCCTTGAAAGTTCGGCTACTTGAATGAGAAAAAATCGAAAAATGGATGCTTTCATCCAGAAAACGTTTACCGTAACCTTGAGTCACTAAGATGGCTGGATATCATGTTTACCTTCCAAAGAACTCATTGAAGAAAATATCTTTACAGTGACATTTGAAGATAAAATTTTGCTGCTATAATCCTCTACATATTATAATTATATAACTAAGGATTTTCTGGGAACTCTTAATTGTATTGCTTTTTTCAGGTTCTTTGAACGAATTGTCAATCATGTATCGCGACATATTGTTATCAATGTTAGAGCAGAGACATATGCATCTCAGAAGAACCACGCTAAATGTACTTTGTACTTTTATGTTGATATCGGTGCTAAAAGTTGCTCAAATACTATATGCCAAATAGCTACATTTTAGAAGAGAAGAAACATAACATGAGATCCCTTGAAAAAGAAAGTCATACACAACTTTCTATTTGTCAATGAAACAAAAAGTAGACCAGCCTGCAGGAGTGTATGGCAAATAAGAAGGTGAATGAAAAAATGTTATAATATTTTATTATATGTTATGATGTTCATGGTATATAATTGTGTTACTTCGATTTTAAAACTCTTGCCATTCTTCAAAAATACCCCTTTTAGGAATAATTTTCCACATGCCCTATAACATAATCACATATCTTTATTCAAATATCGACCTTTTATCTATATCTTTCTTTTAGCCAGTGGGAGTTGAAATATAGTATAATTTAGTGCTTTCTCATTGGGAGATGACGAAATTGCGCAGAAAAAAGTAATCGTTGGTTCGGCCCTCAAGCCCACAGATTGTGGGTTTCTTAATTGTTTTTTTTTTCAGGGCTCAGTTTGTTATAAATGATTTCTTATAAAAACAAATGAGTGCATATGTTCGATTTTAATTTTCTCATGGTGACATTCTTGAACTCCATTATAAGTTTACCTAAGGTGTTTGTGTTTTTTAATATTTTCTGACTTGTGAATTTTTCCCACTACGTTGAAAAAACCCAAACATTGCGATCTTCAAAACAGCAAGGAAATCAGATTATTGTAAATTGAAATGCAAATAGACGGTTATTTTTTCGGACGATTAGGAATTTATTTCCTGTTTAAGTGATATGGAATAGATTGTACGAAGAATAACTCCTTACGACGTTTTAGGGGTCCCGTTTCATGTTATCACACGTAACTTTTCATTCTTAAATCATAAAAAAATCCAAGTAGCCGAGAACTAATAAATCTCTAGTCAGAACGTAATGATATGCGCATCACTGATCTCTATGATGAAAAAATTTATAGAGATCAGTGGCTGTGCATGGACACCGAGCCTCGATGCGGAGAGGAGGCGATGAAGAACTAATCCTGAGCGTAGTTTAGACGGAGCTGTCTAGTTTCCATACTGCTCGACCTGATGACGTAATTAGTTTACCCAAAACCTAACCCTAACCCTAACCCTAACCCTAACCCTAGCCCTTTACTTGGAATAATTAATCATACCAATTTATGACTATTAATCATGCTTATTTATGACTATCAGGTCGAGCAGTATGGAAACTAGACAATTGCAGTTTAGACAGTGCGTTATTGGCGCAGCTTAAATTAGATGCCCTAATACTGTTTGGTATTAGATAGCAAAGCGAATGGAATTATAAAAAGTTTCTTTTGCAATGCGTGTACTCTATACACTACGATATGCAAAAGATGAGCTCATTTGTCGTGCCGTTCATCAACAAAGGCCAATTTCACCCCCAATTAAAAGCTGTTTAAAATAGAAGTTTTGTCGATGGACTAAACAAAAGCTCAATATCACAGCTTATTTCATTAGAACATTCTTTTATGTCTTGAAGACGCACCAGAGAAAGATATAGGAAAATTATATTTTTCGTTGAAAATAGAACACTGGGCAAAATTTTCTTTCGGATGTTTTCATAAACAGGTAGAAAACACAAACGATGTACATGAAAGGCAAATAGGTATGATTTTATCATAAATACCTTGGCGCCATCACTTGGAGCAGATTGGAGAGGTCAAATCACTCCTCTAATAACAGCTCTCTTTTAAACTCGTATATCAGCTCACGGTATGACAGGTTTGTGAACAAGCGGTTGCGTTGGTTCAAATTAGTTTCTAACAGACTGAACACCCAAGAACAGGCTGAACACCCAAGAACAGGCTGAACACTCCAAGAACACCCTAAGAACAAGCCATAAAATCCCCCTTAAGCGACTGAACACCCTTAAAAACATATCAAAATCGGCATATCATTCGAAAAATAATTTGGTCAATCAATCAAAATAAATTTTGAGACGGGAATGGGCCGGATCAATCTAATGCTGTTGGTGTTGTTACAACTGTAATAGTGCTAGTTTGAATTTTGTTTGTTTTGCAACTTGTAACCTTAGTTAGTTAACCGCGTTTAGTATAACAGGAAACAACAAGAAACAACAAGAAACAAAAGAAAACGAAAACAAACTAGAAGAAACGATAAGGAAACAACATGAAACGTTTTGTGACTTTGCAGAAACGACTAGATCTCCAAAACGAGGCAAGCTTATCCATCCACGTGGGCATTGTCATCTTCGTTGCAGTGGCCTAAGTGTTCGGTCATGTTGTTCTCCACCGCAAAAGCTGTTGTTATAGATGAGGTTACGGAAACCCAGTGATAATGCTTACTTAGGCCTGGTTCAAACGTCGCGCTTCTCATGTGCTGAATCTAACTCGAGAATTAAGTACATGAGGGGCGCGATGTTTGAATCAATTTGGTACGGCAGATTTAGTTAGGAGCGGCAGACTAGTTTGGATCGGCAGAGCTTGCCGAGCGGCACAGCTCCAGCACGGCACGGTTTCAAGCGTCGAA